CCTTGAACCAGTGGGAAACATTTCAAATGTTAAAGCACTGCATAAGCTGTACGATGAATGCGAAGTCAACATTCGAAGTTTAGGATCGTTAAACGTTACTTCTGGAAGTTATGGAAATATTCTCTGTCCTATCATTTATAGAAATTTCCAGAGGAATTAAATTTGGAATTTAATCGAAGTCGAAATATGGAAGCAGGATTTGATATAAAGGAACTTATAGAATTCTTAAAAAAGGAAGTTAACTGTCGAGAAGCTGCAAGTTTAATGAACTCTGCGAAAACGAATCAGAAACCATACTTTCGTCAAAATGAACAACGCACGAAAGTTTATCCGAATTATAAACCGAAAGTTCCGACTGCTTCAGCTTTATCAACAATTGGATACAAATGTATATTTTGTGACAAAGAAGATCATACGAAATATAAATGTACTGAGGTGAACTCTGAAGAGAAACGCAACATTTTGAAACGTACAGGAAAATGTTTTCTGTGTTTTGGATGTAAACATTTAGCTATCAACTGTAAGAACAAACAGTTTTCCTGCAAAAAGTGCCGCGGTAAACATCATGAAAGTGTGTGTGTAAATCCCGCATCAGCTGTCTCCAGTGCAAAAAATAAGGAAACCGAAACATCGGCGGAAATTGTTCAAAATTCTTCTGCCAAAACTGGATCTAATATTATGCTTCAAACGGTGTATGCTGTGGCTGAGGGCAGAAATAAGAATTGTATTGTGAGATGTCTTCTTGACGGCGGTAGCCAAATCTCTGCAATTCGAGAAGATTTATCAAGAAAATTACAGTTACCAGTGAAAGGAGAAAACTGTTTTAAATCTGCATACCTTCGGTGAAAAGAACGGGAAACATTGGCGTCGAAAGAAAGTTGAACTTACGCTCCGAAATATTAATGACCCTGAAAAATCCATAAATCTCGAAGTCATTGAAGTACCAGTCATAACAAATGCCGATATACGAGTACCAGATGTAGAAATCAAATCCAAACTCCAAGCATTCGGCGTCACTTTGACAGACTGCGGCGGCGCCGATGGAATGAAGTCATATTTCCGTTTTAATCGGCGCGGACATTATGTGGAAAATAGCAAGCGAAGAATAAAAAAGGATAAACAGAAATGCCGTGCCGTAGCTATGAAAACCTTGTTTGGGTGGTGTATACAAGGCAAATTTCCTTCATCAGACTTTCAAATCCATGATGCGTGTTTAAACGTAAGTGTAGAAGAGAAACTTCTAAAAAGCGTCGAATCGTTTTGGGGAATCTATAGGAATTAAAAATATTTCTGACGAAGAACAAAATGAAATGGCCTTGCAAATATTTAACAACTCGATTACACAAAAGGGTGATAGATACGAAGTTAGACTTCCATGGAAAGATCAGAATGTGACTTTAAGAGACAATTTTAAGAATGCTGAAAGACGATTTTTAAATCTGATCGAACAATTTAAATCAAACTTGAACTTTTATGCGCAATTATAAAGAAGTGATTGACTATCAGCTTAAGGAAGAAATCATAGAAAAGGTCGATCTTGGTACTCCATCTGGGAGACGAACTTACTACATACCTCACCGTGCTGTCATCCGTGAAGATCATAATTCTACGAAACTTCGCATTGTTTATGATGCATCTTCAAAGGAAAAAAATCATGAATCTCTAAATGATAATTTACTACAAGGACCAAATCTTCTTCCTGAACTTTTGAAAGTTTTAATAAATTTTCGACTTCATCAAATTGCATTTACGTCAGATATTGAAGAAAGCGTTTTTGCAAATTTCTGTTGCACCTGAAGATCGGGATTCAATGCGATTTTTGTGGATTGATGAGAATTCAAGTTTGAGCAATCCGAGAATTCAAGTTTATCGGATGTGTGTCGTGTAATGTTTGGAGCAAAATCAAGTCCATTTTTGCTGAGCGCTTGCATTAAGCATCATATAAAGAAATTTGAAGACATCCATCCCAGAACTGTAGAAATGTTAGAAAACTTCATGTATGTTGACGATTTTATTTGTGGATCAGATACGGAGGAGGAGGAAGCTATACAGATATATCATGAAGCCAATGATATAATGAAAAAGGCATCAATGACTTTGACCAAATGGAATTCTAATTCGGATACTGTAAAAAACCAGTATAAATCAAGTGACAACTTCGTTAGCTTTAAATTGCCTGACTGTGATTCCCCCTCAAAGATTCTTGGACTTCAATGGGATACAATTAAGGATATCTTCTGTTTTAATGCACAAGACGTTATTGATTTCATCCAGTCAAATGACCAACAAAAAACGTTGTGTTTTAAAAGCTGCTTCAAAAATCTTCGATCCTGTTGGGTTTCTTGCTCCATATGTTATTCAAGCAAAAGTTCTGTTTCAGGATTTATGGCTGAAAGGTGTTGATTGGGATGAAATTATCCCACCAGAATTGCAAGACAAGTGGAACAAATGGTATAGGCAACTATGTGATCTACCTAATATCCAGATACCTCGGTGGTATTTTCGTGATGTTGATGAAACGCCTGAAACACTGGAACTACATTGTTTTTGTGATTCATCTCAAAGTGCTTACGGAGCAGCAGTGTACGTGAAATTCCGTAGCTTAAAATGTTGTGGAACAAGTTTAGTGATAGCCAAGAGCAGAGTGGCTCCCCTGAAAAAAAAATCTTTACCAAGACTCGAGCTCATGGCAGCAGTGTTAGGTGCAAGACTTGTAACTACAGTCCGTGTGCATTTTCCTCAAGCTAAGATTCATTTATGGACAGATTCTCTTATTGTGCTTCATTGGATAAAGAACTCACCACGGCGATGGAAAACATTCGTACAAAATCGAGTGTCTGAAATTCAAGACAAAACATCCCCGAGCATGTGGCATCATTGTCCTGGCTCAGATAATCCAGCCGATAAAATCACACGTGGTGTTAAAGTGAGTGATCTTGTAGTAGATCAAGTGTGGTGGCATGGACCTCCATGGCTTCATCAAGATGAAATAAATTGGCCTAAAGTGAACGAGCATTGTAACATAGTAGATAGTGTGAAGAGAAGAAAGAGTTGTGACTCAAGTTACTAGCAGTGTTCAACCTTTACAACCTGTGTTAAAAATAGAAAACTTTAGTGACTTAGGTAAACTTTTAAGAGTCACGTCATATGTATTTAGATTCATTAATAATTTAAAGTCACAGAATAGAGTGATTGGTCCTGTGACCAAAAATGAAATATGTAATGCTATGTGTTATTGGATTATCTTATCACAAGGTGAGTATTTTTTTGAAGAGTTGAATGATGTTAAATGTAAAAAACCATTGTCTCATAATTCCAAATTGTTTGGGTTAAATCCAGTAATGGATGAAAAGGGTTGTTTAAGAGTTGGAAGTAGATTAGTGAAATCATCATTAGATGTCGATGAAATTCAGCCTATAATATTACCAAATAATTATTTTTCTCGTTTAATTATTTTGAATTGTCATGAAAAGGTACTTCATAGTGGTGTAAATGAAACTTTAGTGCAAGTAAGAGGGAAATTTTGGATTTTAAAAGCTAGACGTTTTGTAAAATCTGTGTTACATGATTGTAGATTTTGTAAAAAAATATAATGCTAAAGCTGGACACGAGATATCGGCTCCTCTTCCAGCTGACCGAGTGGAGAAAGCTCAACCATTTGAGGTAAGTGGCATAGATTTCGCTGGCCCTTTGTATTTAAAGGATGGTACAAAAGTGTATATTTCATTGTTTACCTGTGCAGTGACTCGAGGAGTCCATTTAGAATTGTTATCAAATTTAAGTGCAGAGTGTTTCATTCAAGCCTTACGTAGATTTTTTGCACGTAGGGGTATTTGTAGAGTTATATATTCTGATAATGCTAAAACCTTTAAGACTGCTGATCGTGAATTAAAATATTTGTATATAAATTATGTAAAGATGAAAAGGTTCTAAATTTCCTTGGTAAAAATGGGTTTGAATGGAAATTTATTGTAGAAGGTGCTCCTTGGTGGGGCGGATTCTGGGAACGTTTGGTAAGATCTGTAAAAACTTGTTTAAAACGTATCTTAGGTAAAGCTTCTTTATATTATGAAGAACTGTATACTGTTTTAGTTGAAGTTGAAGCTGTTATTAATTCTAGACCTATAACGTATGTATACAATGAACCAAATGAACCTGATCCTCTTTCACCATCTCATTTTATAACTGGATCTAGATTAACTGTTTTGCCTTCACCTGAATCTAAACTAGAATCTACAAGATCTCAGTTGATTAAAAGATGGAAGCATAGGCAATTAATATTAGAGCATTTTTGGAAAAGGTTTTATAAAGAATATTTGTTAGAATTAAGATCAGTCATGTTTTCAAAACCTCCAAAGAATTCTCCCGTGTTTAAAATTAATGATGTTGTACTTGTACGAAAAGATAATGTGAAACGCTGTAACTGGAAGATAGGTAGGATTAAGGAATTATTTCACGGAAGAGATGATAGAATTAGATCTTGTGAGATTCAGTTAGATAAGGGTGTTGTTAGAAGACCAATTGAAAGACTTTATAATCTTGAAGTTCAATAAAATTGATGCATCCGTTACGGATGCATGGGGGGGAGTGTTAAGTTTAGGATTGTGTATCCATAGATCGCCAATAGATGGCGGTAATGTTTGTTTGTAAAAAGAAACTGTGATGTCAATTATGTATATGTATCAGTTCGTCTTTGGTGTTCGTGAATAAATGTTGTGTGGAAGAACGCTCCTCTGTTTATTACTTTAACTGCGATCCAGTCTGATTTATTAGAGATTTACACATATTTTGTTTAGAGATTAAGATAAATCGTTCTATGTTTATTGTGAATTTAATATGTTAATATAGTAATTAGCGAATTATATAAAAAAATGAATGCTTACGTTGATATGATTATGCACTTATCTGCCTACGACATTGCAGTTAAAGAGTTTTAAATTGTGTTATCTATCCAAACCTGTGTAAAACTGCTTGCGGCTGTAATTAATTGCCAAATTTTCTTATGAAAGTCAGATTAAAATTTGTAAATTGATTAATTTTATGCACCTTTATTGCACCATTTCTATTTATTAAATGCAAGAAAACATTTTGAAAACATTTTCAATTACCTTTCATACAGATGGCAGAGATCTGGATAGAAGATCCCGATGGCAGGAGAGTATCTCAGTGGAAAAATGTCACATTTGAAACAAGTAAGAAATTCTTCTGAAAATATCAATCTATGATATATATTGTAATATTATATAGCATTGATTTTGGTGATTTTTTTTGTTAAAATTATCAATAAACATTGTAATCTACTATTTCTAAGTATCTTTGTTATTAGCTTCTTAAAATATGAAAAAATTAAAAACATGAAATTTCGTGACCGAACCGTACTTGATGCATCTGTAACACTATCTTTAAGGTTGCGTATATCTAACGAAAATTAAAGATTGCCTTCTAAATTTTTCAGTCATTAATTTATGGGAATTATAGCCCCTTTTTCAAAAAAATTAATAACCTCATGCTGCTTTTCAGATAATCTTTGTATTATTTTTTTTCTAAATGTATGAATCTCTGTGAAAATGTTGAAGGAATTTTTTGCATCAAACAATTTTATAAAGGAAGATTTTCTTCGTACATATTTCAGTTTCTATCTAGAATACTTTTTAATTAGTTTCGATGATTAAAAGACCGGGTGGGAAATTTTTGTGAAAGAAAAATGAAGATACGTGTGAAAAAATACAAAATTAAAAACGAAGATTTAAAAACATTTATACTTAATATTTTTACGATGTATAACTCTTTACTCCCCTTTTACGAAAACGTTACATTCAATTCTGATATTTTTAAAATTAATTAGACAGTTTGGCGCTTATGTGCAAATGTTAAATATCACACATATGAGATATTACGATGAATGTAACATTAGATGTTTAAACGTCTTTAAATTATAGATACATTCTGAATGCGAGGGAAATATTTGCACAAAATGTATCTTATTTACAATATACAGATATTTTGTGTTCACATGTGTTGGCATTGTTTTAAGTATAAATGGAGAACTTTTCTTTTATTATTAATTAATTATAATCTCAGATTTCACAATGAAGTTATATTTTCTTAAAATAATGCATTATTGTTTTTAAATGTTGTAATTCGTTACTTTTTTTATATTAATGCTGTTATTTTCCAGTTACGTTAAAAAACCGAATTCTCATATTTTTAGCAACTGAACACTCATATTTAGGGAAATTAGAGTTGAAAAAATGTAGCAATAAGTGCTTATTTACAAGTTGAATAAACATATACTGCAAGGTTTAAAAAGGATAGCAAATGATATGCTTCTTAAAATAAAATGTCATGCTTTACATTCGATAGAATGCCGTACAATAATTATGAAGGTACTATTTCGTTCGAGCGGCGTCAGTTAAAAATGAGTCACTTTTTTTGGGCCACCATTTGTTGCCAAGTATAAGTTAATTTTGTATCAAATAATAATAGAGTTCAAAAGAACAAAAAAAAGTACTTCTGTAAAAAGTAAATTTTTTTTTAATTTCATAATTAAGGAAAGTAATGTTTTCTTTTTAATTCTTTAATCTAGAGAATACTACACATAAATAACAAAACAAAAAGCAATTCAATCGAAACAGGTGGCATAAAATTACAAATATCATTCAGTATTATAGAAAAAAAATTGTTTTTTTTTATATAACTGACACCACATAAATTCTATCAAATATGACTCTAAATGGTGGCGAGTAGTGCCCCGCTGAAATTTATTTCTCCATTTAGCACTGCCCCACAATCGCTCCACAGTTTGAGTATGGCATTCGGTTTCGGGGTCTACAAAATTATAACTGCGATTCAAAGTAAAATGTTCAGCATTTCTTAATTCTTCTTCCTTATATCCTTTCTAGCAGTCTGAAATTATTATACTGCCATCCGCGATGGTTTTCCTGAATGAAAGTCATCAAGGCTATAGCATAGGGTTTTATAAACTGTTTTCAGTCGCGACCCCTTTTTATCACTGAGATTTTTTCGCCACCCACAGGACCCCATAATATTTACAAAAATTTTGTGGGACCCCATAAGTATTGCGCAAATCCGACACACGCGTTAGTGAAACTGTCAGTTTCTTCACTTGTACTGTATACAGTACAACTGATTAGGGACTGCAATAATATATAGGTCATTAACTTTAATTTCTAATTTTAAGACATAGAACAATGTGAAAAGTTTAAATAAGTAACAGACAAAATGACAGCATCACTTTCAAAGCAAGGAAAATGAACGTTTCTACTCTTAGACAAAAAAAAAAAAAAAAAAAAAAAACCGACGCACCAAGAAGGAGTTATTCGAATGTGACAAAAATCGGTAGAAGTGATGTACATGTACAGAAAAACAAATGATTACAGTTTGAGAAAAATTGGATGATTTATTGAAGTGATAGAGCTTTACAAAGTGAAAAAGTCAGTAACGCGTTTGTCCACCTCTGGCCCTTATGCAAGCAGTTATTCGGCTTGGCATCGATTGATAGAGGTTGCCGATGTCTTCCTGAGGTATATCGTGCCAAATTCTATCCAACTGGCGAGTTAGATCGTCAACATCCCGAGCTGGTTGGAGGGCCCTGCCCATAATGCTCCAACCGTGCTCAACAGGAGAGAGATCTGGCGACCTTGCTGGACAAGGTAATGTTCAGCAAGCACTAAGGCAATCAGTAGAAACATGTGCAGTGTGGAGCGGGCATTATCTTGCTGAAATGTAAGCCCAGGGTGGCGTGATATGAAGAGCAACACGACGGGCCTTAGAACTTCGTCGACGGACCGCTGTGCTGTAAGGTTGCGACTGATTACAACCAAACGGGTCCTACTATGAAATGAAATGGCACCCCAGACCATCACTCCTGGTTGTTGGCCTGTCTGCCGGAAGACTGTCAGATTGGTATCCCACCGCTGTCCGCCTTCGCTGGTCATCGGGGCTCAGTTCAAAGCACGACTCATCACTGAAGACTATTCTACTCCAGTCAGTGACATTCCAGTGGGAATGAGCCCGACACCACTGCAAACGGGCTTGACATTTTACAGAGGTCAATGGTAGTCGGCGCAAGGGGTGCCGTGACCTTAGCCCTCTTTCTGTGAGCCGTCTGTGAATGGTCCTTGCGGTCACTGAAGCACTAGTTGCATGTACAATCGATGATAATGATGCATCTGGGCCTGTGAGTGCCGTTCTGACGATTGTTCGGTCTTCACGTTCTGTCGTTTCTCTAGGCCTACAGCTTCCTTCTTGACGCTGTGTGTGACCATGGTTCACCCATTCATGCCAACATCGTCTGATAGTGGCATTCCTCCTGCTCAAGCGTCGACCTATTCGCCGAGTCTACCAGAGTACACGGAATGAAATTCGTGAAGAATTTATGCCCTGGAATCGTAATTTATCCTCTTAAATATCCTGCCGGTTGCGCAGATCAGATGCAGTATAGTGACAACCGTTCATTCATTGGCAGCCAAAATATAAAATTTTTCATTTTCCTGTCGAAACCTGTATGCATAGATCTTATCGGTGCGTCGTTTTTTTTTTTTTTTTTTTTTTTTTTTTTTTTTTTTTTTCGTCTAAGAGTGTATTATATAAAGAATGTGTCGAAACATTTTCCTTTTTTTCTTTGTCTGTAATGTCTTATCTCTTTTCAGATACATTGCGTAAAAATATTTGGTAATTGTAAAATTATTATAATAAGTTAAAGAAATATCAAAACTGCTAAAATTTTTGACGACCCCTGCTGCATGTTCCGCAAGCGCCTTGGGGGTCGCGACCCAAAGTTTAGGAAACCCTGCTATAGCACAAAGATCGGGAACGGCAACCAGAAAACATTCTTTGCTTTCCCGGCATAAATTTCCGAATACCTATTGTTCTGGAACAACATATCCAATGTTTTTTTTTTTTTTTTAAATGACTTCCGTCTGTTTCTATGATTTTGTTGGTTTCGCCGATTTTATTTCTTTTACGAGACATCAAACTATTTGCACATACCTCCCTCAAATAGTTACTCCAATCTACTGTGCTATTAATGCTGATTTGTAACTGAAGTTGGCAAAATTTAATCACGCCATTACCTGACACCGCAGATATACATAACGAAAGGCGCTCAGGAAAGAAAGACGTGAGCCTTTAAACCATGTCTTGGTTCTCAATCCTTTTTTTTTGCCACCGGAAGAACATACGTAACAACGCCATACAGGAGCTCTGTTTGAGTCAAAAGTTTACTTCATCGAATGATTTTGAAAAGAAAGTCAATTGCTATGAATAATTCCTTTGCCTGAAGGAATCTTATCGCAGCCTCTTCGTCATTAGGTAACTTCCGAATCGTGTAGTCCATCGTAATAAAAAAATGGCAAAATATGCCCCCCCTAAAAAAAAAAAAAGACGTGAAATGATATTTGAAACGAAAACTGGAAATCTCGAGCCACCGTATTTGGCGTGTTATCGTAGCATTCTTTTCTTCTAATTTTTTCTTCATTTCTAACTGACGCTGCTCTAACGGAATAGTACCATTATGAAATACTGTACTATGGTTAATAACATCAGTGCATCTTTATGCATTTAATTCCTTCTTTAAAATAAGGTAATAAGGTATATACTATTTTCCCCAAATTATCAGATTAACGATGCTAAGTTTAGTTATAAAATAAGTAATTTCAAAATTCAGTAACATTCAAATTCTATACTGCTTATTAACAGGTTATATTTATGTAGCATGCAAGTTTGTTTTATCTTGAAATAGCGGATTTAGCCTGTAAAATGCTAACAGAATGTAAATTCATATTAAGTATAAAGAGAGATAAAACATTTAACTTATAAGTACTTGCGTATTGTGTGACTTAATGGTAATCAAATGTTTACCGAAAAATATCAGTTGCAAAACAAAAGTTTCAATATATGATGTTTGTTTTACAGGTATGCTACAGTTGGAACTGCCTCTACCTGAGAAACCATTATTTGGAATCTGGACTATTATGTGTTTAATCAATAATATAACTAGCATGCAGAATTTTAAAGTAGGAGATTACGGTATAATCATTACTATTTTAATTTTTCCTTAATAAATTCAGTAATATATGTCATATGATTTCGTAAAATATCATACTATTAAGAGGCGAAGTGTATCTGCAAGTTTGCGGGTTATTGTTAGAAAATAACCTTGGGATAGTAAAAAAAAGCTCTTCAGAAAGATCGTAATAAATGCATTGTAAATAAATGAGAATTTTATCCTCTCAAATAAAAAAAATCCGTGTAAGTGTATAGAAAACATTTATTTGGCTGTTAAAACCTTCATTTTCATTATTCATTCTTTTCTAGCATAATCATTAATTCAATCTTCCTATTTATAACTTTGTAAGGTATTGTTTTAGTTATTTAACCAGTCATTTTATGTTAAATAGCCTTCATAGTCTTCTCATTTCCATTTTTCTGCCAGAATGTAAATTTCTAGCTCGCGTGATATTCAAATGAGGTAGAAAGACGATAATATTTAAAGATTTAAAGGAAGGTTTTAGAGGGTAGAATTGGTCCAGCACACTTCTACCTCCACGAGAGAAAATTTCTTTCAGGTTTCTATTCTGTCAGGCCCCACATGGGATCACATCAGGAACTGGCAAGAGCAGGACTTTAATTTCCTGCTGAAAGCCAGTATAACCGCAAAGTTCCAAAGTTCCAAAGGTAGAATTGGAATGCGTTCCGAAGACCACTTTGCTAATTTGGTTTCCTTTTTGGTAGGTAGGTAGGTGACGGAAGATGGGGATGCCTGGTGGCTACCAGAGATAAACAGGCATGTGTCCCTCGCCTTTCACTATCTAATAGCAACAAATCCCTGTGACCTCAAGAGTCCACACCGGGAGCTTATTAAGGGTGCAGGAGTTTAAATGGCCAAACAGGGGCGACTTATTAACTAATTACATAATTACAGGTATGAGACTTGTGGGACGGATTTACAGGTGAGGGGCTCAGAGTTAGGTAGTAAATGTATGAAAACACAAAAACATGAAAATGTACAGAAAACACACACGCAGAGGGAAAAAAAAAGGTAGGGGGAGAGGGATACACTTCATTAACACTGAAGACTTATGACAAATAAAACACACTTAAAAAATAATAATACGCATATACCACATGTCAGATACATATTTGGCCTCATTGATCACATATATTGTACATTGTGGGGTGTGTTTACAGAAGAGGGGCCCTAAGATGGGAATAACATGTGATTGCTGGACATTGATATGGGGGACACGTAGAGGTCCGGCGAATATATATTTGTGGAGCGCATAGGTTGCTGAGTGTATGAGCATGCCGAGCGCGGTGACATGTTAGCAGCACAGGGTGATGTTCATGTTGACTTCAATAGTGTTAGTGGCGGACGTTGTGGGATTATGCAGCGTCGCATATATCTTGGCCCATAGCGGTGAGCTGGTCAATGGTCAATGACCTTACAGATTTTATTGAATGCAGGTTTGTTTTTAACAATGAACCGTTGAAAGGCGTCTGTAGGAGGAGTGGGATGCTTAATGTGGTTGTCTGCTGTGAGTGGGCAAGAGTAGATATAGTGTTCTGGTGATCCAAGTTGGCCGCACACGCAAGCATCTGTAGTGGAGATGTTGTGCCTATAATAATACGCTGGATAGGGGCCATGTCCCGTTATGAACCGGGTGAGGTGGGGTATAGCTATGAGGCGTGATAGAGAGACTTTGGGCCCGCAAGGATCTTGCGCTGGCCCAGTGCTCTGGAATCTAACTTTCAACAGTATCATCTCCACAAACTGGTCACAGCATACACAACTAGTTGCCTATGCAGATGACGTTGCGTTTCTAATCCAGGGTCGCATCAGAAACGAATTGGAACACAGAAGCACTCAAATATTACAAAAATTCAGCTTCCTCTGTACCAAGAACTCAAATTAACCATCTCCACTGCCAAATCAACCGCTCTAATCATTCCCAAGCCAGGCACCAACCCAAGCAGAAATCCATGTATTCAAACTCCAACAGAAAAAATCTAAAAATCGTCAAAGAGCTCAAGTATTTAGGCTTAACATGGGACAAAGGCCTTACATGGATCCCACATCTACAGCAACTCAAAACTAAGACACAAGCCATTGCACGCAAGGCCCGTCAATTTCAAAGTATAAATTGGGGACGAAACCCATATATTAACAAGATTTTGTACACGACAGTGATTGAATCCATAGTCCCGTACGCTGTCGCAATATGGGCGACGCCTGTGCAAAACCGGAAACGTAAGCAACTACAGACCATCAAAGACCTTTCGCACTACTGATGTGCAAAGGTTTTCGCACCACAGCCACCTCTGCGGCCATCATCCTTGCAGGCATACCACCACTATATCTTAGAGCCGAGCAACAAGCTACAATAACCAGAGTCCTGCAACTACGCAAAGACGCCACCTTCCACGACACAACCCACAGTCCGACCTTATATGAAAACCCTCGCCCCACCCAACGCCCACACCCAGGCATTCAAGGAAGAAACTTCCGCATCACCATGGACAACACTAGCAATTCTAGTATTCCCAACGCTACGTACGTCTACTACACCGATGGATCCAAGATTGAAGACGGAGTTGGTAGCGCCTACATTTGCTACCACCAAAATGATGAACATACCAGTTGGAAGGCAGCACTGCGGCACTTCAATAGTGTGTTCCAGGCAGAAGCCTTGGCCATCCTCAACGCCACCAACGACATACTAAATAACGGCTACCACCAAGCATGCATCTGCACAGACAGCCAATCTTAACTCCTGGCAATTCAAAACTTAAGCCACACATCCCCAATTATCTCCGAAATCCAAAAGCTACTCTCTGTAAACCACCAGCAACGCATTCACCTCACCTGGGTCAAGGCGCATGCTGGTCTAGTTGGAAACGAGGCAGCAGACACCCTAGCCAAAAAAGCCGCCATCAGTTCTGAAGTTCAACAAATCCGTATCCGTGCACCACCATCGCATCTAAAGAGGCTTCTCAAAGAAGTCCTACTCAAAATATGGCAAGAGGAATGGAACGCGTGTGACACCGGACGGCGGACTTACAACAATCTCCTTGTTGGTAGTAATCTGCGGCATTGCTATTAAGCTTGTTACGCGACCTTAAGGTCAGAGAAAATTTGCGCGTTACCCTTATTATACAGCCGTTAGGCTATCATACTTCTCTTAGTTTTAGTTAATTCATTATATTTGATTTAATTGCTGCATTTTGTAAACAGGAGTAGTGTCATCTCTTAATTTTTATTTGATTTAATAAAAGGGTACACAAGACATATGGATAACTCACTACTAAGTCTTTACGACGTTTCGACATTTTATGCTTGCAAAGAGAACGAAATGTCACAATTTCTTTAATACGAAACTGTCTTTCTTTCTATTAAACTTTATTCCATATTACTTAACATGGAAATTTTACGATCATAAATTATTTTTCTTATTTATACGAAGAATTGTTACCTTCTTCTTCATTATCCTTGATACGGCTATACTGTTACCTTCTCCTTGATACGAATAAGAACGGAAGAGAATTGCCTTCCTAATCAGGAAGCTACGCTTTGAAAGACTTTCTAAAAGAAACTAGCTGATACTCACTTTAAAAACAAGTGTGTTATATTTAGTATTCTGATTAATATTCGTTTCACTGTATCAATATTTATTTTGAACATCCGTTTGAGTGTTAAAATTCAATAACGCTTCTCCTGTCATATTGAATGAACTTTTTAAGTATTTTTACTTTTAGCTGGTATAATATTCAATTTGTTTTAGAATGAAAATAGCCTTAATATATTTGTGAATATTGCTTGTTATGATTTTTCTTTCCACAATAAATGTATTGTTTTTGATTTCATGTTTACATCTGAAATACTTTCGCTAGCTAACGAGTAATACTAACAGCATTATGGTAGGTTCGGAGGTACGACTTCTTCTGTAGTCGGAGCTTTAGATATGAAACAAAAATTGAAATAATTTATGACCGAAAAATGAAGAATCTTTTTTTAAATGAATGATATTGTAATAAATAGCATTTTTAAGGTTTGATATTGTCGATTTAAATAGCCTCATCTTAATTTCTGAAACAAATGTTAAGTACGTTTAACAAAAATATTAAGTACGTTTTCCTTAAAAGTAAAGGAATGTTACTCTAAGGAGTTTAATTATAACCTAATCAGGGATGAATGCTACAAGAATTTTTTTTTTTCCAGTTCTACCAAATTTCGAAGTGAAAATTAAATCTCCTTATGTGTTGGACACATCAGAAGAAATTTCTATAGAAATATGTGCATGGTAAAAAATCAAAACTTCTTTCTCTTTCTATATATCTTTCGCTATTCTTTCTCTTTCTTTCTGAAAATATTGTTGTCTGTTACAAAGTTATGAATATCTGTTATATCTGTTACAAACTTATGAAGTTGTAACTAATGAATTTGTTGAGAATACTATAAATAAAAAGAATTATTTAAAGACACATATTCTAGCATTTTGCAAGATATTAGAATATCCAAATTAGCTCGGATAAAGTACTTCAATATTATTTCTGATAAAAAAAGCTATTGTGAAAGGAGAGTCTGCATCTCTGCGGGAAAATAAAAGTAACGAGATTATATGACACATTACCATTTAAGCATCTTTTAAAACTTTGATAAAAAAAAGGTTTAAAGATATAAATACAGTTATGTCATATATTCTTATAGTACAGTGATCAGCATATGAATATAAATACTGCATAAAGATGTACGCTTTGCACGCGCGCGTACACACACCAAAAGAGAGAGAGAGAGTTTTATATCTCTCGTCTTACTGGGCCAATTTACGAAGTTTAACTTGTACTTTTCATGTCTCAAAAGCTCAACTTAGTATATATATTAGACATATATATAGCAATTTTATAATATAGCCATTTTGACACAAACTTTCTGAAATCCCATTTCATTTTTTTCCGCATTTCAATTCTAAGACTCAAACTATGCCAAAGTGTCAAGTTTTGTAAAATTCGCAAGACTCGTTTTAGCTCCTCAAAATTTTCATCTTCAGAGTTAATTAATTTTGGTATATATTTATTAATTCTTCGTTTTACTTCCTTGTGCGAAATAAATTATGTATTGTAATCGCGAAAACTTTCGGGCATCATATTTCAACCAAAATATCCATTTAACCGCTCTCGAACCCTTTTAAACAATGCTTTTGCGTAAAATCTGTACGTACGGATAGAAAAAAAGACTCTTCCTCCCGAAACGGATTGAAAAATGGATTTAAAATGGCTTCAGAAGAGACTTTTTTTTCGTGTCGTCTGTACGTACGTACGTATGTATGTATCTCTTATAACTCAAAACCGACTAGCCTCAGAACGTTGAAATTTCGCATATGGGACTATTTTTCTTTAGATTAGTAATTGTGTGCCTCCCTTTTTGGTTGCAATCGGCCGCATCAAAATTATTGTAATATATATATAAACGTGCTTGATATTGTTCCAAACACCAAACTTCGACTGTTTAAGGAATCGATTTACATACTTCAAAAAAAGTCACTTCATCCTTACGGACTGAATGCATATCTCAGTAATACCACCAATAGACAGCACGAGATCTCTATATATGGACAATTTAGATTTTTTAGCACTACTACTACCAGAGGAACTAGAGGAGCTGATACCATGAACAAAAATCTTTTCGTCACAAGATCTGAAATTAATTATTAACAATCTTAATTCCTACCTTGAACATAAAGAATTCGCAAAAAATGCCATAAAACTTCTTCATACCTTTAAGAATACTACCTTATGGAATCTGATAAAAACAGAAAATCAACCGTCTCAATGCTTCAAAATAGTCAAGGATCTGATTATAGACTTCTGCAATTTTAAAACTAAAGAACAGTAATTTTTTTCACAAAAAACGTTTTTGTACTATTCAGTTCAAACACCCTTCTTACGATCAAGTTAAAAATACCTAGCATTTTTAAAAAATTTCAAGCACTTGCTTCCTGACCAACCACTCTCAAATTAAAGCCCTGTTTTAAATTTGAAAAAAAACCTTAGGTCAACTAGTTATCAACCACCACGTTATACAAGATAATAGCAAATGTAATTGCCTAATTGCCTGTCTACAAAAAATATGTCGATCCTTTCCACCAACATGTTATTACTGGAGATCTTAATATTGTTGAAGATGTTGAATTACGTAACCTTTTGCAACTTGGCACCAAATTTCGTCCTACTTTCGGTATTAATAGACACGTCTGCCTCAAACAATTCAATAATGATCTTGATAAATTTATTATTTTAGCTAGTATAGATCCAATTTACCCACTACAACTTTCTTGAATGGAAAGCTGCACTTATTAAAGAATTTTCAACGTTTGCTGTTCAAGTCACCTTGTTTCAACTCTTTACACAATAAAAAACGCCTGGAGGATCTAATTCAAAAATTGCAAAATCACTTTATCATCACAAAGATTGACAAAGCAAGCAACAATTTTAGTATTATTTGACAACAATTCTACTACAACCTTCTGCATAAAGAGTTAAATAACACCTGCACTTACCAAAAAATCACTACCAGTGCTAAGATTCTTCTCAATAAATTTAAAGCACTTCATAAAAGACTAAAAATACAACCCCAGAAATATAACAACAGGTTTGACAATCTCTATGCCTTACCTAAATTTCATAAGTCTCCAATAAAATTCAGGTTCACAGCGAATAGTACCAAAAGTTATCTCAAAGAAATATATTATCTCTTTGCACAAAAACTTCGTATGATACGTGACCTAAACAATAACTATGATTTTGAGGGTTTGCATTGCAACTGGATGATTTCTAGTAACGAACTAGTTCTTAAAACTATGAATTCACTTAAAATAGACCATATCCAATGCTACGAATTTGAAAACCTCTATACATCTCTACCGCTCGAAGGAATTTTTACAAGTTTACTAGCTCTTCCAGATTTATTTCCGCAAATTTCTACCATTCTCAGCAACGAAAAATGGCAACTATTCCTTACCTGCGTGCTCTTCAATAATTTTATTCAATTTGACAATAACATCTATAAACAAGTACAGGGTATCCCTATGGGCGGTAATTTTTCAAGCTCTGTCTGTGAATTATTCCTGTTTACTAAAGAATTGACCTATGTCCGTTCACTCAGTACAGAAGAACGTATCTTTTACCAACACATCTATAGATATATTGATAATGTCATTGCATTTAATAACTACAACAAAATAGAAATAGCTAATATCTACCCTGCATGCTTAAAACTAAATAAAACAAATACAGAACAGCATAATGTAGTCTACCTTGATTTACATATTATAGATTACAATTTTATTAAAGTTTACGACAAAAGAAGAGAATTTAATTGTTCCACACTTAAGTTAACTAACTGGAATTCAAATATTTCCAAAAGTTTGTTATCATCTTAATTTTCTTTTATTTTAATTACAGTTTTTCATTACAGATTTCTAAAATATATAAAAAATTAAATTGTTAATCTTTAAGCTTGCAGGCCCAGCCCGTATGTTTTTTTGTATATTTAGGACTAATAGCTGACCGCTATTTATTTTTGTTTTTATTTTGATTTTAGTCTAGATTTAAGATGTTTCGGTATAGTTTAACATATTTTAACACCTTAATGTGTCATTTTGTGCGGACGCGTCAGGAAATTGGAACAGAGAATTGAGACTATTAAAATTTCCAAGACACTTTATCTAAATTTAAAAAATTTTTGTAGCGAAAAAGTTTCAATTGTCTGTTTCGGCGAAACGCGTAATGGGGTTAGCTTGATTCGACGTTCAAATAAATTAAATTTCCCTTGAAAAGCCAGTTTGGAAGTCGAGTTGGGCTAATTTACCGTTTTCCGCTTACTTTTTTATCTGATTCTGTTTTTTAATGTTTTACATGTTTAATGGTTTGATTTTCATATGTATTAATTTTTAAAACGTGTTGAACTTTTTGGAGCAGCAGCTCTTGGTAACTTTTAGGCGAGCTTACTACAATTTATATATATATATATATATATATATATATATATATATATAAGATAAAAATATGAAAGCAAACTTCTAAATTTAATTCACTATTACCTCTTATTTTTTATTTCCTTTGGGAGCTTTATCTATCTGTCCTAAAAATAGCGCTGTAATTCTAAACTGCGTCATCTTCAAATTAATCATGCGATATTACGTAACCCTTAATGCAGATGCCTCTTGACCTATCACCAAACTGGAAAACAAAACTAAAAACTGAAACTTTTGACTCCCTCCGTTTTTTGCAGTGAACTGATGAGTCACTTGTGCTTTGCTCTTGGCTAGACGTCTTTCTGCAATCATGTGTGTGCTACTATATTCGCTTCTATGGCAATAATATCAAAATTGTAAATGTTCTTTAATAGGCATGAGTAGAGTGCCAAGTGAATTGTGGCCACAAAATGGGATTTTAAATAAATAAAAGTAATTTAATCTGGCTCGACTGCTTCTTCTTCAAAATGGATAGACGCTCTAAGCGTCAAGTATCTACGCAATTGGTATTTCTACGCATCTATATCTCAGCGTTCGTATTTCAGTGCCTCCAAACTTGTTCTGTCATTACATTCTCCGGTCAGTTCTAATTAAGAAGAAATCTATATGGGTTTCTTATTCTGTGTTCACAATGAATCATGGGAAAAGTCCTGTTTCACCGAAAATTTTAATGCAAGTTTATGCCGCATTCATAATCAAATCTTTCATCTCATGTCATCGAACCACAGTTTCATTACATATATATACTCACTCTGTTGCTCGCCTCAATGAGTTCAGTTCATTAATGTTGAAAAATTGTGCATTTTTTGCTTAATATGAATGCTATAGAAGGTCTTCCGCTGACGTCAAAAGTTGAATGATAATAGATGTCGAAAACAAGTAATTTTGTAGCGTGCTTTTGCTCTCAATCAAATGCACGCTTACACTTCGCATTTATCAATCTCTTCGGTATCGAATCGTCAGAAAGTTAACTATCATTCTGCTATTTAATGCAAAGAAAGTGCTACTTATATCCCATTTATACAATCTATATGAGAATCTTAACTAGAATTTCTCTGTTGTCAGAACAATACTGGAAGCTTTTACGAATTTAAAAGAAAATATTTACTGCATCTGAAGCTTCATATCAGTGCGAATGGCAAGCCCCGTAACGTAATCGAAGTTGAAATAATCCCTATTTTATTGCCATTAGAATGCATTATGAAAGATATTTCATACTTTGGAGGATTTTTGTAATATTGAATGCAAATGCAAATTAAGATGTAATATAGAATGCAAATGCAAATTAAGATGTAATATAGAATGCAATTTAGATTCATTTTGTAATATAGAATGCAATTTGTGATATAGAATGCAATTTGTGATATAGAATGCAATTTAGATTAAATTTGTTATATGGAATGCAATTTGTAATATAGAATGCAAATTAAGATACAATATAGAATGATATTTAGATTAATTTTGTAATATAGAATGCAATTTGTAATGTAGAATGCGATTTGTAATATAGAATGGAAGAAGCATCAGTGCTATTTTACAGAGATTTCATCAATTTATGAATCCGAATATCAGGTTTTACTACACGTCAGGGCAGGTGTAGAAAGAGTAAAAAGAAAAACTTCTACTCGATTACCAAGGTTTTCGGTAACTTCTAAGCTTAACTAAGATGTAATAGTTGTGAGATGAAGAAATATGGTGAAATCATTATATCCTTCTTCTCTGTAAAAGGAAAGTACATACATCCTGTGATATTACTATATTTTTTAGAACATGTTAAATGTTGTCAGTAAGTGAAGTCTTAATACTGATGATATCAAGTGTAGTTCAGTGATTAAATTTTAGACACGATCATCAGTGACCGAATGGATATGATAGCTGAATAACTGGAAGTTTATACCACGTAATAAAATAAAACGTTGATTGTCATGGATTTCATTTTAGCAGAAAGGCGATACAAAAAATTGCCTTCTTAAGCTGAAATTCGACTGGATTCCCCATTTCTTTTAACTTCATTTTTCCTTTTTTTCCTTTTTCTGCTCAGTAGCAACTCAGTTAAGGTTCAAGCTCGACTGTTCAAGCTTCTTGTTATGACTGTTCAAGCTCCTTGGCATTATTTATCATGATCAATTTTCATTTAGTGCCACTAAAATAGAACATGAGCAGAACGATTTTTTGAGAAAAAAATTGATCCGATATTTCCTCACTGAAACGACTGCAAATATTTAGTGAAAATGTACTCTAACCTTGAACCGGTAAGCATAGAAACTCTGCTTAACAGTAACAGCTTCAATTTTCCATTTCTATATTTCTTCTAAAATGTTATGGAGTTATAATTAACCATGAAATGTAATTGCAAATTATTATAAAACATAGCAGTGTTGGCATTCGAGGTAATCTCCTTCTTTTGCATAGAATTAAACACAAACGGGATGAAATAGTGGAGATATTTGATAGTATATATTGTTCATCTAGAAAAGGCGCCTGCGTGATATCTCTCCAAAACTGCAGTTATGTGCATAGAATTTCAAATAGTGGTTATCATAGCTTTCGAAATTCACTTAGAGAGATTCCGAATAAAAGAAATCCGCACTGCACAACGGAGGAAAGCAATTTTCCGGCGTAAACTCGGACCCTGAATGCTATATTACGCCACATGACTAAGAAAATTCTTCACAATAAACTGCGAAGGCATATGTATAATGGAAAGAGTATAAAAGTAACGAAGAGCAAATATAAAATTCTGCATTCCAAAATTTTTGCAGACCCTTTCGCAACAAAAATCATTCTAGGACACTGCTGATGTTGTTTATTTGCAGCAGTTCGATGCTTAAAAAATTACATTCGTGTTATAAAGTAACAAAAACAAACACAAAATGAGTTTGGCGCCATTTTTGAATTATATTTTGTTTGGATATGTAGGGATTAAGAGGAATTCGCGAAGGATTTATGCATTTTACATCACCAATGAATTGGTGAATGACAGAAAACTTTTTCAGGTATACTTACGGCAAAAAGGTTAAAGGATTACTGAGAGCTAATGTTACAGTTAAAACGCCATGGACAACACTTAAGCCAACAGAATTTTCAAAGAAGGTAAGAAATTTTCATTTTTTCACTTTGGCATTTATTTTAACAGTATAACTTTGACATTTATTTAAGAGTATAATTTTTTTTGAGTTATTTCGAGATAAGAATTTACTCTGTGCTCATACATAATTACGTTATTAAAGGTAAGAACATGCTTCTGTTGCATATGAGGAAAATTCCATTCTGTTGCATGAGGCTATTAATTCCGGAAAATGCTCTCCAGCTTTGGAAATTTCAGATGCGTCAATCATTTGCGGATAATTTCTCTTTAATTATGAAAATGTAGTAATCTGGCATTAACGCATTTAATCATGATGTCATCGGATGCGTTCACTTTCGTAATACGAACATGCAGGACAGGGCTTAATTTCTAAAAGTAGAAGTGTCGGAGCCTTTGGAAGTCCTTCAGGAAAGAGGAGCAGGAGTAAATAATTAAATAAAAGGACTATTAAAATCATTAATAATTTAAATATTAAATAGTTAAATGATTATCAAATTAATTAGTAATTATTTAATTCATATCAATAATTAATAGCAATTAATTATTATTTATTTAATTAATTAATATTTTATTGCTTATTAAAATAATTAAATAATTACAGATTAAAATGATTAAATAATTAAAATTAAATAAAATGTAAAGAGATAAATTAAAATTTAATAAGCGATTTTTAATATAATTTTATGGCTAAAAATAAAATTTTCGTAATCAAATTTCTACTGAAATTGTCTTTCAGTTACAGTAAAAGAAGTGCCGGAGTCTTCTATTTAGGGCTGCGGTGCGCTCCGACTAGAATTAGAATTTATTTCCAAAACTAAGAAGTACCGGAACCGGGCTCCGGTGGGCTCGGGGACAATTTAAGCTCTGATGTAGATAAAGATAAATACAACAGTGCACCTAAATGTTTCCCATGTTAATTAGCATTTAAAATTTTCTTTGCTATCATTTTAAGTTTTCTTTTATTATGGAAAAGCACCCGAGGGCTATCTGCCTAGAGATAGGAATCCCTTCAGGGAAACTGGCTCCTATACACGTTACATATGGGGAAAACCACAAAAACTCCGATGCAGCCAGCCTGTTCGCCGAGTTTCGAATTCCGAACCGAGCCACTCAGTGTTCAGATACTTTTACCACTCGGCCTTTGGTGGGCGCAAACATACTATCAGCCAATTCAGGTTTACATTATTAATGTAGATTTTTCAAATATTTCGCAATTCATATTCGTACATCTTTCGGTACTTTAAAAGCTTAAATATTCCCAAGATCCACATCTCAAGTAGTGCTTAAGAGTTCTTTTCCGCATTAATGACCACGCATTAAGACCGCTGAGTAGTATTAGGTCGATTAGGATTTGAATTCAAATGAAAAAACTAGTTACATGACATTTTCTATGGTTTTACTCATCTTTGATATGAATACGAGAGAAATCGTTTTAGAAAGTTCTTTATAAAGGCAAACTTCATCTTAAATAGTTTCCCATGTTTTTTTTTTTTTTTTTTTTTTTTTTTTTTTTTTAATGAACACATATTATTCTTTTCTTAGTTGTTCACAACAATAGAATATCTATCTGTTTATGAATTCACTTCCATAATACACGGACGGAGCCTTTTAACGAATATAAGTATTTAAAAGTGTTATTAAAAATTAATCAGTTATGCAGAATGAAAGAAATTGGACGTCAAAAAACTTAATTTATTTTCACACACGCACACACACACACACACACACACACACACAATATATATATATATATATGTCTTTCAATATTTTATAAATGTTAAAATTCAGTTTATTCCTGAATCAAATTTTATACAGATTCTTTTTATTTTCAGCCCAGACGGATTACTGGACTCGAAAAAGCATTTTACTTTGAATCTCTTTTCTAATTGTTGCCACGAAATATTATCGCTCTGAATTATATTTAAAGAAACAAATTAATGAAGAATTTACATGAATGTATGTATGTTTCGCGCTGTGGAAAATCAACGGTATCTAGAGTCATCAAATTTTGAATAATATAGTCCTCCATGCGAACATGGGCTTCTGGAAGCCCGAATTTGGAATTTGTTTTATTGTCTGTTCCATATTCTGTAAAACTATCACGAATTTTCGATTAAAAAATTTAACAATTTAAAAGCGATCAGTGCCAACGCCGTAGGAAATAAAACATTTTTATCTCCAGAGCACGAAACTCTGTAGAAGAAATTCCAAAGATATGCCCAATGTAGCGTTAGCTCAAATGCTCTTGAAACGTGTATATGTCTGTAAATGAAAAAAAAAAGTTTGGGAACTTCTGAAAGCTATAATCTATAACATTATAAAATCTATATAACATTATAAAATCTATATAAGATTATAAAATCTACATAAGATTATAAAATCTACATAACATTATGAAATCTGAAAGCTTTTATACTTTCTTTTTCTTTTGCTAAGTACTTCACCAGCCGTGATGGGCTTCAGAAAACTGTAGTTAGATTCATGAAGTGACATATGTATACAATTGCACAAACGTATTCGAATGTGTACTGATACGTTTACAGAAATTTTGTTTTCTTCTCCTTTGTACAATATCGACACAATAATATGTAAACTTCAAGACTTGGAATATATCTGACCAGTCGCAGTAGCGAATAAGTAAAACAAATTTCCGGAAATATCCAATATAAATTTTCGTTTGTCCGTAAATTTCCCTTGCGTTCTTCCAGTAATCATACTTCCTACAATTAGAATTAATACTCCTTTTGAAATGTATTACTTGTAATCGTAAAAGACAAAGAACTAGCCTTTCCATACATAAATCACTTATAATTATTCCTCACTTAAAATTCAGTGGGCCAGCTGTTCCGTTGATGGCGAAAAGAAAGAAAGCCTTCCCATACATTAATCATATTTTATGACTTAGCAAATGAAATTGGTAAAGCCTATGCATGTTTTGAGATTGAGTATGGACGATTTTTCTTCCTAATCTCAGCAAAAAATTAAACTTTTCTTTTCATTCGATTTAAATATAAATCACATACTTTAGCCAACACTTTGCTAACGTTATTTTGAAAAATATTTTATCTAATTTAATTTTTAAACCCTTGACAGATTTCAGGCTGTATTCCAGTTGTAGTCAAACGGAAGGATTTATCTTCGGGTCCCTTTATATTTCCTTCTCGATTCAGTACTCTTGAGGTAAACGCAGAAGTTGTAGAAAAAGGAACAGGTATAATTATTCTTTTGAAATAATTTCTTACATCAATTATTATTTCCAAAATTCTAAAGATTGAATCGAAGTTTAGCAGCAGAGGTACACTGCGGAAAAAAAAATGGCACATTTCTATATCTCCCGTTATACTGGGCCGATTGACGAAATTCAGATTGCGTTTTTCATAACTCGAAAGCGCGACTTAGGATATATAATAGATTTATATATAGCTTTGTTCCAATATAGGTATTTTGACATAAAATCGTACTTTTTCGGAAATAACATGCCATTTTTTTCCATATTTCGATTCTACGACTCAAATTATGCCTAAATATTAAATATTGTAAAATTTGGTACGAAATTTACAGAGAAATTCAAAACTTTCTCTTGGCGAATTTCTTTTTCAGTTTGCGTCAAGAATAGTTCACTTGGCGAGCTTCTTAATTTATAGCAACATAGTTTCCTTTCCTTTTTTTCATTATAAATGAACGGGAAAAATCATCGTTCATTATTTCAAATAATTTTAAGAAAGTGAGTAAACCACATTAGATGTTATTATCGCTTTCAACAAATATGATAAATTACAAAACGCGCCAATGTATAAATAATAATAAAAAATAATGAAACGGACGGAGGACTATGGAGTAAATAATAAACTACGGAGGACGGAGACGCCTGGTGTCTAACGTAGATAAACAGGCGTATGTTTTAGGCCCTTCCCTATCTAGCGGCGACAACTCCCTGGAGCCTCAAGAGGCTGCGTCGGAAGTTTATTGAGACATCAAAAAGGTTGTACATGCCCAAACAAGGGCGCTCTTGTTTTGTTTTACAGATTTGGAGAGATTTTGACTGAACAGAATTGGCAAGGAAACAAAAATGTTGCAGAATTAATAAAAGAAAAGGGGGGAACAAGAGCAAGAATTAAAACATGCAAAGAAATATAATTAAGGCATGTGCTGAGCTAAGCTACTAGGATAATGACCTCAACTGGCAACTCACTGGAAACAAAAGAAATATCCGATTTAGCATTTTGGCGATGCCGCTGCATTTTTTTCCTTTCAGTAGATTTTGCTTTACCTTACGGCCGAATGGCATCATTTTATCTAGCTTTCGTGCCTGGAGTACTACGTTTTAAAGAAAGAGGTTCTAATATTTCTGAGATAATTGGTTAGCTTTTGGCAATGCTAAAGTAACAAGAATCAGGGTAATATTCGCAGATTTGCAGAAGTAGATTCGAAGATTTAAATATACAGCTTCTTTCACAGCTGCGGGAGAGCTAATGACAAAACAGAAGCCTGTGATCAGGCGATAACATTGAGAGGAAAGAAGTCAAGCTACTAGAGCCACCTATTAATAAAAATGGAAACAACAATAAAATAAATTTCTCAAAAGCTGAGTATAAAGTCAGATTGAAACTGAGATCGTTAACTAAAATTGAAAAATTTTTATAAATGTGAAGCGTGCCTAGAAAATCTACTTCACTAACGGGAGATTTTTTTTAACGATTTTGGCTGCAGAAAATCGAAAACGCGATTTTCTGAATATATGTAAGAGTATTTATAGGATAATTTGAATAAATAATAAAGGTTGTAACTTCATGTTATTATGCTCTCTCAAGCCTTTGAAATGTTGAACTCGACTCTAAAGCTTTTATTTCAAATGCTACATTTAAGAGTACTGTTAATAATGAGAGTAAAGAAATAAAGCATAAATTTTTCCTCTAATAATTATTTTTATTGTTTTCATTTTCTTCTCATTAATTATTATGTTTTCTAAGAATTGTATTGAAAACATTATACTGATTTGCACATTTGTGGTTTTCCTAGGAATGATAGTCAACAAAACAATCGAAATTGAATCTGAAGTCCTGCTTGAACCATTTAAACTCAAATTTTTGAACGCTGTAGAAGACAAGGATTACTTCAAACCTGGAATACCTTATTCCGGTGCAGTAAGTTGATATTTAATTTTATTTCCTGGGCTACCAAGCGCGCAACGAACAAAAATCATTCCCCGAAATAACGTCAACGAAATGGCAGAAGTGTGGAAGATATAGCTAAATTTTAAAAATTACAGTTAGACTATGTATTTGTATAATCTTATGCTACAAAGCCATAAAAAGAGGAAATTCCCAGATTAAACTTTAAAAGAAAGTTGCATTATTCACAGTAAATCTTGCACCATGTTGCAACCTAATCCTAGAAACTAACACATTGAGAGAGGAGAAATTACTTTAACACTTTTAATTAATGTGGCCAGCAACAACGGTTGTTAGCTATTTTTTATGCCATTTATGTGACTCTGCAATATTTACTTAACAACAAACGTTGGTTTAAGCTTAGGTTAAATTTAAAACAGAGGTTTGTTGTTATAGAAGAACGATATCTTTCTTCTGTTTCATAATCGGTTATAATGAATGGTTTTTCAGCTCTCTGACTTATTTAATTAACTAATAAATGTATTTAATAGTTATATTGCTACACCTTTTTTCATCTTCGCATTTGTTACTTCTAATTATAAAACTGTTTTAAACGGCATAAATATTCATATTATGGTTGAAATCAATTCTGTAAAACTGCAAAATTTAACTTTCTTTTCCGGTACTCCGTTTTGTATAGTAAAATTGGTTATAAGCCCCTTATCATTAAAAAAAAAAAAAAAAAGAGAAACACGCCAAAGTGAAAATAAAATTACCAAAGCAATAACCTTGGGTTTGGCATAGATTTAGTTATGAACTCAATCGAATTCGAGAGCAAACATCCCTCTTCATCTTAACATAATTTTCTATTTCTTTACTCTTTTTGGAAGCAGATGTCGCTGCTTTCTTGATCATACGACCGTTGCTTTCCTGTATCGCAGTCCTGATGCAGCAGGACCTGAAATCGAAATCGATCGATTTCTTGAATAAATCTACGCCAAACACTAAGTTGTTATTTTGCTAATTTTACTCTTATCATTAATTATAATATTATGATAATTAATCAAATATTATCATAATCAAAAGAAGCGGTATTATGCTTAAATGCATATAATACATAAATTTAACTTTCCTTTAGGTAGTGGTCAAGTGTCTCACACAGCTGAACACTGGTTTATATGTGTTGAATACTCAAAAGTAACTCTACATCTACACCGATCTATCTATGTTATTAATCTGCCTGTCTATCTTACATGCCTATTAGTGATTCTAAATTATCTCGCTAAAATATAAATGAAGGTAGAGAGATGTTGTAAGGTATATTTGAATTTTATAACGGTTATTTTACCACAGTTAACTTTTCCTAACTTGCTTTGTTTCAGCTTACAAATCCCTACCAGAATGAAGTTTTAGAATCGCTTTGAATGAAAATGAGAAAGAAATAGTTTTAAAGGAAAGTTCAATTTACTTCGTGAGAGAGAGCTTGGAATCCTGATCAGCGGGCGTTTGGCTTTGAGCTAAGTCTCTCTAACTTCTGTTACAACCGGCCGTATATTACGTGCCTTTTGATAGTTCTCTGGCTAGCTTAGATTACGGGCCAACTACGCTAGATTTGTGTTAGCTTCGGCTAAACCTCTTAGTTAGTTACACACAGTTCTTATTTCTTAATTTTGAGTTCAAGCCCGAGTGGAGGCTTTATTGTAAGCCCGAAGAAAGTAGCCGACTGTTATCTTATTTTGAGTGAATAAAGGATAATTAAACCTTCTTGAGTTTACACTTTCTATTCTTTGAACTAAGTGATAATTCGCTTAACAGTTCACTAGATTAGATTTAATTTAGAAGAATAAAACTGAGGAACTCTACAGTGTAATGTTAAAGCAGCTATATATACTTAGGATTTCCGTGAGAAGGAACCTTCATCTTGACAGTAAATGCCAGAGGGATTCTTCATAATATTCAAATCCAATGATCGAGAAAGGAAATTCAAGTGCGGGAAACTTCGAATGCACACATTTTTGTTTTCTGCATGAGAAATGTGAAGTGAAAGAGAGTGGAGAAAATAGCAAAAACTGCTCTTGATGTATCTATTCTATGTGTCCGTTGAGGCCTTTCGTTTTGTATAAAGTTCCAAACGCAATATTTATCTCGAGATATTTAACCTGCCAATTAAGTTACTGAAGTTTGATAAAAACAATTCTGAACAGGAAACGATATCAGGATATTCCTTCCAGACTTATCTGACGTCTGTTTGGGAAGAGCTCAAGACACATCCGTACCGCGCTTGTCCATTTCCATCCGCGGCACCATACACATAATGCATATCGGACAATTTCCAGTTAGTAAATCGATTCAACCATCTACAGCAACGTCCTCTCCTGAAATGCTTCCCACTCTCCCATAAGCCTGCGAACATTGCCCTCTAGCGGTCGCCGTTCGTATTTTCAGACACAAGTTCCTACGTAAATGCTGCTTGTCATGCTACTACAGACCACTATGTTAAGTTTATTAACGACCTTTTGAGACACCCTGTATACAGAGTGATTCTAAATTACTTTTATAAATTAAGAGGGGTGATAGTATTCATCCGGAGGAGTCATAATTACCATAGAACATAGGGTCGCATTCCAATCTGAGAGACAGAAAAGAAGAATATTAGAATTCTAATCTGAAATTACAGCAGCGTTGGGACAACTAATGAACGAGACCAAATGTTGCACAATCAGTTTAGTGACAAACTCACAGAGAGTGAACAAAACGGATAAAACCGAAAACTTGGCGTTCGAGTGTTAATTTGAGATCAGACTTTGATGGCAAACACTCAAATGAACATCTTCTGTTTTAAGTCTTAACTTCGCAAACGGTTGCAACAAGTTAATTATGTAACCAAGGGCTGAATATTATAAACTAACTCCAACGTCCACTGCATGCCGAGTGTCATGTATCTGGCCGCGGTAAGCCAATCAGCTGCCTGCCAGTGTCCAGCAAGTGAGAGAGACGGCAGTTGCATGCTAGCCTCAGAGGAGGAAGATGGTAGATTTCGCTATGTTATACGAGCGAGGTACTGCTCCGAGTTTACTATTATTCTTTTAACGTTAATTTTAATAAATGTTTGCTTCGTTTTTTTAATGGTGCCTTATTGAACCGTGAAGCCATTACAGCAACTCTGGTTCTCGAAAGAGAGCGTGCTGTAAGGGTTTATATATATCAATATATACATTGATTTTAAGCTATTCCGATTTTTGAAACGAAGCCTACTCTAAAGCGAAACTTATATTGCAACTTGAAAGTTAATTTAACCAAATTTAAGAAATTTGTCAACATACAAAAATCTGTTTACAATTAACAACGTCTAGAATAATGGTGCTTTCTTGCTTTTGCAGTTATTCGAGGTATCCGGATTAATATATTCTAAACATGTGATTTTAAATATCACCTTATGAATGCTTATAAAAATCTTTAATAATCATAATACCTTTTGTAATACATATAATTTAAGCATATTTAGGTTTTCTCCCATATACATCTTATACTGTCATCAGAGAAATCTTAACTGCATTAAAATGTTCTATAAGAATATGTCTTTCGAGTTGCTCTACCAGAAGAAACTTTCATTGACGGGTATATAAAATTGTGGTAAAACCATAATTCTGCTCATTAAGTTCTGGAAAAGTAAAAAAGAAATTGCTGCTTTTTCAAAATTCCGTTCCCCATTGTTTCGATTACAGCGACGTAACGTAAGAGCTATCGAATCATACTTTACCATTTGTGGGAACCCCAGCATACCAACACTGCAAAGAAGACACTGTACGCCTCGCCATAATTGCCGATATTACTCATCAATCCTGCCGACAGTCTTGTATTTGCTGGATAGAATTTGAAAATATCCATTTACGATGCCGAAAAGAGTCAGTTCCCGATTACCGAATTCTTAAAAAGGCCTCGATTTCTGAAATATCGGAAATCATTTTCCAGAAATAGTGATAATGCCTTTATCAAATCTGACAAAATCCTCCCACTGTCGATAAGAATTGCTGTTTTTGATTTGTACTTTCATAGATGAAGATCACTATTCTACGGGGTATTCAACATTTATTTAAGGATTACTAGTATTTTTTCATATGGAAATATTAAAGATTTAATGTATATATTTATAATTCAAATTTTCATACATATATTTTTATGGTTTCCCTTCATCATATTTTATATATTCTTAAGAGTGTTTATTAAGAGCATGTTTGTGGTTTGAATAAGCACAGAAAATTCTTCAAGAATATATATATATATATATCTTTTATCCTAGATGCTAGTGCAAACTAACAACGGCACACCTGCCGCATCAGTAAAAGTTACGATATGTGGAGCAGAAAGGCAATGTCCTACGTTCATTTCGGATAAGAATGGCATAATTCGTTTCACTTTCAATCCCATTAATGAGACTATATATTCAGTAGATATTACGGTGAGTTTCTTAATTTCTTTGTTTTCGTTTCATTAAATAAAAATTTAAATGTATATAAGTGGATGGCTTAGTCAGAAGCAGCATAAGTTTCTAAAAACTGATTTTTAAGAAATATGAAATTTCTCTCAGCCCCTTCTAGTGTTTCTAAAAGAGTGCTAGTATCAAAAATAATATTTCACTGATATTTGTCACGTAGAGTGTTTACATTTTCATAATTATAAGCGTAGCTATTAAGTAAAAATCACCGAAATTTTCACTTGCCCTGCTTCAAAAGCAAGCTATTTAGTTATAAGTATCTATACTATTAAAATCGGTGAGTGTCTGTTTGTTTGTGGTATTATCTTCTCCAGAACGGCAGGGAGTCGAATTTCGAGAGAGGTACTCCAGGATTCCGAAAAATATTTCGGCTGTTCCCATTTTCATTCGACTTTAATCAGCCGAGATATTAATTAAAAACTCTGAAAACACTAATTTTCGCACTCATTTTTACGAGAGGCAACAGTCTCGCGCATTGGAGATAAAAATGTTTTATTTCGAAACTGCTGCTACTGTTCGCTTTCAAATCGTAGAGTTTGTTAATCAAAAATTTGTAAGTTTTACAAAAATTGAAATAAAAACAACAATGCCAAACATTAAGCATATTATTTTCATATAAGGCCGTCTTCTGACGTTGAGGAAAGCAAGCGACTGCATATGACGTCCCTGTCGAAAATTTTTCGTTAATGTCAGCATTTTAAACAAATAGCTGCTGTTGACAAAGTTTTTGTTTCAGGTTAGTATAATTGATATATTATTTGCACGTTAATTCTTTTATTAATACTGAGAAAATATTGCTATATTACATTAAATTTAAATCATGACGTCATAGGTATTAACCTGAAATGTCAAAAGTTTTTTTTTTCCTGGTTCGGGAACATAAAATTATTTACGAATTGGTTGTTGCTTGGAAATAATGAACTAATTTCTGTCATATTGTAATGCTTTCACATATTTGCTTCTCAGGGGTACATAGAACTTAGAAATTTTGCTTTGGCTGCAGCCCACTAGTCTAGAATAAAACTTGGAACATTATAATTGCTCACATTTTTCTTTAAAATCTTTCTTAGACAACTAAATAAGCATTAATTCATTCTCATAAAAAAATTGAAATTTTCAATCTCCTTGATACCTTGTGGGGATTTATTTAACGGTTAATTTTATTTTGAAGCAACCTTTCCTACTGCTCTTGGTTTCAATTCACGCTTTCTTGCCAGAATAAGATTTCAGTTTCGCGTTGTTATGCAAAGTAGAGTAGAAAGATACTATTTACTATACTGGTCTCTGAGCTGCTTCAGGCACAGCGTGTTCTGCCTTTCGGCTACGATGTTTCTCTGTTATTTAAGCTTGCTATTTTACGGGCGTGCATATTAATTGACGGTTAGTTCACATCGGTGGTAGGGCCAAGTGCCGAATACGCGTTAAAATCTCTATATGTAACTTCGGCTGATTATTTGACTCCCCCCGGGGGTTGACTCAGGAGAATTCCTGAGAAGTACTGGCTAGGATCTGTACCTCGGCAGTCTCAACCATATAAGTTTGCTCCACAGGACTAGAGTCCTAGTTTATTGTATGGGGTAGGTTCAGGCTTGGCAGAGACCGTACTGGTACTATGGTGTCCGTTCCTTCGGCTGTTGCGGAGCTACATGCAGTTTTTCTCAGGCTATGTCCTTGGGGGTTTGGCCTTTATAGTCCCAGTGACGGGGACTGACACAGCAGTTACAGAACATAACTGAAGCTGAGAAAGTGGTGCCAGGAGGCGAAGGTGTTCTAGCATTCAATTATAATCTATTTTATCTGTTAAAGAATTTTACTCTGTCTCATGCTTTGTATAAAACCTGGCAGGGACTGCTGGGTCTGCTCCGCTTTGGACGAAGTCTCTGAACCTTGAATATATCAAACACCGTATGGCAGTGCCCTTGCGGACCCCAGAATGGGGTTCCAAGATCTAGTGCTGTGATTATTTGACTTGCAATTTAATTTTACATTTCTGTTTTGATTTCCCGACGAAAGTGGCGGCGTAGAACTGTAAGCAAAAGGAGTACTAGGTGTAAATTCTTGAGTTGAATAAAAGGATCTTTTAACCCTTTTCACGTATTGTTACTGATGCAGTTGAACTTAACGAATAGTCGCTTCACAGTTCATGTGAAGATCTAGCCAATAAAAGTCACTTTAATTTAGCTGCAACCTTACAACCTTTCTTAAATTATTAGCTTGTAGACAAAAAATGTATAAATGAATCAATCTGTATTAGCATTGTTAATTTATAAAAATGAAATAATTTTGAAGTTGAAATAGGTTTAATATAACTAAACGCCTTTAATTGCGAAATAAATTGACCCAAACCAATTGGTATACATCAATAAAAACAGGCGAAACATCTTAAAATTCAGGCGATTTTTTTCGTAAACCTTTTGCTTTCTTTTAGGTCTGTCTTGTAGGTGGACGGTCACTCTGTCCACCTCTACAAAACCCTGTGACCTTGTACACCGTTGTTCATAGTGATCTTTATTTGAGTTCTACTCTATGTACTATCTATTAGTACTGCTCCTACTACTATGCCGAAAGAACTCAAGATTCTGAAAAGATTGCTGCTGTATGTGGTTATTCTTCTACTCTCATCAGTAGCTACCTAGTCGGTACAGTGGTTGGTGGAGCTGACTCTGTACCGATGGCGCGAGTTCGAATCACGGAGAATTCATTTTGTAGTGCACGAATGTAAACGAATGCAGGGATATTCACTGTCTGTGAGCAAAGGTGACACTCAAAATACATGGGGAGTCAAAGGTTTGGAGTTAGAATTTCAATTAAGGTTTGGAACGTTTCAAATATATTTTATTCGTACAGACATGTATTTGGAGTACCTTATATATTAAAATATACATTAATATTAAAACTGACATGAGCGATGTTCTCCGTATTTCATTATTATTTTAAAACTTTGTATATGTATGCAAACCATAAGGAACAGATTTAATGAAAATATGTTTTGTGTTTAAGATAAATATGTTTATACAGTTAAATTATTTGAGCGACAAATGTATGGAATTTCATCATCAAGGAATTCTGAAACATTTTCGAGTATGAACCTTTTAAATAACTTAATATTTTCAAGCATTTTGATTAATTGTTTATGCTTTAAGTACAATCCAACATAATTTGTCGTTAGTATAAATACTTCAGAATAGCAAATAATAATTTTTATAAATTTAGATAATTTTCTTACAACTTCTTTACAAATATTTTTAAACTTATAGGACTAATTATTTACGATTCTTTCTGTTTCGATTTGCCAGGCGAAAGTTGTGGATCCATTGCATAAATTCCATTGGCTTTACAGAAGTGTACAGACAAGACTTTCTCTTATTACATGGTATTCTCCTTCTAAAAGCTATATCCAAATAGAGCCTATCACCGAGGAACTCGAGTGCGGGAAAGTTCAAAGTGTCACAATACGCTATACCGCAAAGGAAGGAGATTCATTTCAGTTCCACCATCAGGTAAACTTTTACATATATTTAAATTTTTATCTCGACTTAGATTGCTCGTAATCTTATTCTCTTTGAGACATTATGACATTTTTGCTTAAAATTTTCATAGGGGACGTCATTAGAGAGCAGCTAGCATAGGCAATAAGACTATCGATTACACGAATGCAGAATTAGCCAGTATAGTGCAATTCTCATACAAGGTGCGCGCTCTAGGCGAGCAGCTGCACTCTTGTACCAGAAACGGTACCCGATAAAACGTGCTTCCAACCATGAGTTATTTGCAGAACGTTATCAGGTGTTATGCGAGAATAATTCTTCCCAGAGACCTGTCTTGAATCAAGAAGGATGAGCAAGAACACTTGGCATTTAGGAAATGTGCTCCATTATGCAGACCACACTCCAAATGCAAGTACTCGAAAACCTCCTATAGGTTAGTCATATGGCAGATCCTGAATGAGAACCAGTTACATGCATGCAACGTTCAACGTATGCAGTATTGCAGCCTGGCCGTGTTTGAGGTTTTGATACAAAACAAGAAAGATATGTTATTTTAATCCAAAAAGAGATAATTATGAGGCAATGACAACATTAATAGCGTAGTAAAAAATAGAACTATATAGCTGCCTGAAACATGATTTTATCTGATGGGTAAAGCATGATAAAATGCTTAAATTGGTTAAAAATTAAGAATAACAAAACACATTTCACGTAGAAACCGCAAAACACTAGATAGTATAAAATCCATAATATTAAATGAATTAATTAAATTTTAAATATGAAATGAAAAAATAACATGAAAAACATTAGCACGGGGATCTTTTCAAATTAGTTTACTTAATGTTAAATTAAACAAGCTAAAGTATTTCAGCCTGAGATATCTAAAAGATAAGCAGTTAATTAAAATGTGTTATACAAGCAGTAGTACATTATCTGGTACATTATCAAAACTGCTTATCTAAAAGATAGGTAGTTAATTGAAATGTGTTATATATTTACTGTTCGCATACATTACACTGTTCGCATGCTGATACACTCTGTAAGCAAATGCTTGTGTGTGACACCGGAATGACCTATTCTTAAGCGAATTAAAAGAGCCTCTTTCTTCCTAATTCTGCTCGATCCCGAGCTCTGTGTTCTGGTGTTTAGCTTCCGTAACTTTTTACTTGCTTGAAAATACCAGAGTACCTGTCTTTTACTTATGCTTCGCTTAATGTAAGTCCGTAATTAGTAGATTTGTGCTAGAGAGCGGGTATCGCATAAATGTGATGGGCATTGTAAGTGTGTATCGATTTACTGCGATTTTACTGAATAGCCAACTCCCACGAAACTCACGAAAGAACGCCTATTGCAGGCATATACAGCCGCAAGCGATGTATAAGAGTAAAGATTAATGCGAAAAGCAGATATACAGCTAGCTTATGAAATGATGCCCAAACATTTTATTTCAGATCCTTTCAAGAGGTCGAATTGTGCAACAGGATTCTCATCCTCGAAGATTTTACTCTAAAGATGACGCGCTCTTAAATCACAGCTCGATTTTATTGCCAAATGTTAGAGAATTTGCGCTCACTTTCAATCTAATAGCCAGTATGTCACCTATAGCTCGACTGCTTGTCTTCTACGTACGGGAAGATGGAGAAATAGTTGCTGACTCAAAGATGTTTCGCACCCAGAAATGTTGGGAAAATAAAGTAAGAAACTTATACACATTTGTCTCCTCAAGAAATTTTTTAAATTTTATTTTTTGTAACAAAATTTAGACTAGGTCAACAACTCTGATATCTGTTTGTATCAAAGTGTATTACGTTATTATTATGGATTTGTAACTTTAGCTTCTTCATGTTTTAGGTGAAACTCGGCCTGTATCACCCACAGCAGTCTCAGAGAAATGAAGATGCTAAAGCTACGGTGATGCTATCTGCCAGTCCTTCTTCCATCTGCAGTGTTGGCTTGGTGGACAAAAGACTTCAGTTGTTTGGCGAAGAAGAGCGATTCAGTAAAGATAAGGTTAGAAATTGAAGTTTATTTCTACTTAAAAGAATAATATATGAAACAAAATTTTTTTTACGCCTTAGAAAGAGTCAACATGGAAATTTTTTTTTTTTTTGTTTTACGTAGTTATTCAAATGGTTGGAAAAGCACGATGTCAGCTCGTCTACGGAACCTCGAAGACTCAGGGAAAACATATGTGAGCTACACTATCCAGGTACATTTATATTTCCTGTCTTACGTTTTAAAATCATAACAGTTTCTTTCAAATAAGGAGTTACAGAGTTTGACTTTATATAGTTTGAGTTACAGAGTTTGACTTTATATAGTTTGAGTTACAGAGTTTGACTTTATATAGTTTGAGTTACAAAGTTTGACCTTATATAGTATGTGCTTATAATGTTTGGAGTGTAAACTAGCTTCAAACTCCTAACAGACATAAAGCGAATTATAGTTGCGTCTGAAATCAACTACAGAGAATTTAAAAGGTTTAAACAAACCTTTTAATTTAACAAAACATAGAACATTAGCGCTTCTCGTACTAACAAAATCAACCCCCACATGTGGCGATGTAAATAAAAGTAACAGTCAAATTCAAATTTAAAACGCAGATTACCAATCAAAGACTATACAATTAAATTAAAATCTAAGCTGGCTCAAGAACTACAAGCGGTATATCAATTTAAATATCAGCAGCAAATAGCAAAGCTGAATGACTACAATTTTATCAGAGCTGTCAGAACTAGAGTAACGGGGCCTCGAGAGGCAGAAACACGCTCTGTTTTACAGTCGCTTAAATACTTTCTAATTCATTTGCATTTCAGGAAATGGAAAGGAAAAGTTGCAAAGTTGAAAGAACATACATACATAGTATATAAAAGAAATGAAGGATATAATTTTGAATCAAATTTCTTAGAATCTAAGAAATTCTATTTAAAACTGTGTTTCGCGAAATACTGATGATGTGTATTAGTCAGTTAGGATTCTGCAAAAAATTACAAAACTGAGAGAACAGCTAAACATTGTGTGCTTTTATGAACTTGATACAATTTAAAACAACTTTGAAAAGATTGAAAAGAAATTTAAAGATAAAACATAAAGCGATTTAAATCATGTAGTAAATAAATTTAATAATGCAGAGCGACGCCAAGTGGCTTAACTTGCCAATGAAGTGCACGCAAAATGCAGTGCTGATAGTATTTGTATTCTGTGCTCAGATGTAGAGGAGCGTTTCTTGCAGCTTTCGTGCTTTGATTTCATCTTCTGAAATTATTTTACGTAAATATCAAAATGTTACTAATACTCACTAATGTAGAGTAGTACTTTTTATCGTGAAATTCCACCATACGATTTTATTCCGATTTCGAAGAAGCGCTTGCATTATCCTGATGATTCGAATATGAAGAACGTAACGTCATTGGTGGTTTCTAAACAAATTTTCTTGTGCGTGGTTCTAACAAATTTGACGACTATATTATCTTTTTCAATTTGTTTGAAAGACATCAACACGTTACATCACGCGTACTAAAACAACAACAGCACTACAACTATTATAATGCAAACATATAGACCACTCTATCGGTGAAGCAGCCTTTTCTTCCCATGAAAAGTTGCAACACTTGAGAATGAAATACACGTAAAATGCAGTTCTGTTAGTCTCCGCATCATGTGCTTAGAAGTAAATGAGTATTTCACTGTGGCTTTCGTATTTTAAAAAATTTGATGTGGGCGCCACATGATTTCTTGGTACAGCCTACGAAATTATTCACATTTTTGGTGCATTTCATTTAAAATTATTTCCTCATATTTTATTAGAGATATATTTCTCATTCAATTAATTCATGCTCACTTCGCGGCAAATCAAAAATACACAAAAACTCAAAATATCTTCATGAAAAATTTTAAAATACAGAAAAAGCATAAAATACAAATTACATTTAAAACAGAAAATTTTTACTATTCAAAATAAGAGTTTCTAAGCGGCAAATTTTTACTATCAAAATTAATTCTAAGGAGTTTGGCCAGCGTGCAGGAAGACAGATATTTCGGAGCACAACACTGAAAGTTTACTTTTGGTTGCCCTCGGCAAAAAGGCACTGAGATTGGTGCTTAAACTGACTTAATTGAATATTCTGCAAAGAGTTTCAAATATAAACAAATGGCGGCTTCGTTAGGCTTAGTACCAATTAAACAATTTTAAATTGTCAATAATTCTACAAGTATTGCATGCAGATTAACTAACATAAAAACCACATGAAAACATGACATAAAAACTGCTTAACCGGAACATAAAATCTACATAATTCAATCACATTTAAAGCAAACAAATGCACAATTTACCAACATATAAGGCTAAAAAAACTGCACTCACCGAGCGGGTAACATAGTGGTTATGTATATATATGTACACTGCTGGCCATTAAAATTGCAACACCATGAAGGAAAGTAAATACAAAAAAGATATTTATTGTACATAAACAGTAAGCATTAAGACAAAATGATTAAATTTGTAAGCAGTTTGGGGGTTTACAGGGGGACGGAATTAGTAGAAACAGCTGCTACCCCTGGCAGCTTAAACGGCCTTACCCGTTAAAACAGAAATTCGAAACGGCCCTTACCCGTTAAAACAGAAAATGGAGTGGAACTGGGCTTGGATGACAGAAAAGTATAAATTGTTCAGTGATAAAAAAATTTGGGAAACATGATCTTAGACTACAAATTGTCGGGAAAGTTAAATGAATATATTTAATGGAAAATACTGATACTAAAGAAGCGAAAATTTTCTTTGTAGAAATTAATCCTTTTTCTTTTCAGTGTAATGCTCAAAGTATAGTGAAAAGATGATAAATATTTTATAAGAAAGTAAGAAGTAAATGTAGTTTTGTAATATTGATAATATTAATAAAAAGTATAAATATATAACTAATTTCTAAACTTGTTAAAAATATAAAAAATAATTCTTATTAAATTCTAAATGAATAGTGTGCATGCATTTATTTACTTAGGGCAAATGGTAGTTCTGATTTCATTTAAAATTTAAGAATTAATTTAGTTATTTAGCTATTTTCTATAACTCTGCAATTTAAGACATATCAGTATAAGAGAAATTTAATAAGAAACTATTTTTAGTATCAGGCATTAGACCTCACATTAGTCTTACTCTGAGAAACTTTGAAGAATTCTATAACACCTTTGGATTCGAAGATGAGCGTGCCGATTCAGTCGATGCTTTCGAGGTAAATGAAATCTTTTCCCTCTTTATACACATATTTCAATTAGTATTTTGACAAAACCTTTATTAGTTGAATAAACTGCTATATGTTACTTATACAGGGTGATTCTAAATTACTTTTACAAATTAAGAGTGGTGATAGTACTCATCCAGATGAGCAATAATTACTATTGAACATAGGGTAGCATTCCACTCTGAGGAATGCTACCCTATGTCCACAAGAGACATAAAAAAGGAATATTAGAATTCCAATCTGAACTTACAACAGTGTTGGGGGAGCGAATGAACGAGACCAAATGTTGCACAATCATTTTAGTGACAAACTCACAGAGAGTGAACAAAACAGATAAAACCGATCATTTGGCATTCGAGTGTTAATTCGAGATCAGATGCCGATGGCAAACACTCAAATGAACACCTTCTGTTGGAAAAGTCTTAACCTCGAAAACGGTTGCAACAAATTAATTATGTAACCAAGGGCTGAATATTATAAACTAACTCTAACGTCCGTTGCATGCCGAGATTAGCATGAAAAGCTCATGCTTGCGAACTTCGTATCCCATAGAAGGGCGCTTCAAGTAGAATGAGCGCAGCAGAGTAAGTCTAAGAAGACAGGATAGAAGATGGCTAAGAGAAAAACAACTGCTTTTTTGATACTTGATATCAAGGTAGATTTTCCCCTTAATAGATAATTTCTCCCTAATAAGTTAGATAATTAACTTGTTGCAATCATTTGTGAGGTTGAGACCCTGCCAACCAGAGATGTGCATTTGAGTGTTAGCCATCAAAGTCTGAGCTCTAGTTAAGACTAGAACGCCAAGTTTTCGGTTTTAACCGTTTCGTGCACTCTCTGTGAGTTTGTCACTAAACTGATTGTGCAACATTTGGTCTCGTTCATTCGTCCCAACTCTGTTGTAAATTCAGATTGGAATTCTAATATTCTTCTTTTCTGCCTCTCAGAGTTGTTTGCGATACTATGGTCTGTGGTAATTATTGCTTATCTATATGAGTACTATCACATTTCTTAATTTGTAAAAGTAACTTAGAATCACCCTGTAGAAAAGGTCCCAGCTTCTTTTATAGACTAAATATGGGAATCATTTTCTTACATTAATGAATAATATTTCTAACCCATGTTATTATCTCATGTGTTAGGTTGAAAATGAATGAAAGTGGGCTTTATTAGACAAATACTGTAAAATAGTTACACTATTCCAAGTTTTTTAAAAAAATAATCATTAATATACTGAAGCTAAAATTTTCTATTGATTTGAGCCTTAAAAAGGAAAATGCAGTACTGTTATTCATTTCAACTTAAATGAAACATGATTTTATTAACCCAATAACCTTGCACATAAAAATTCGGTGACACAACATCATTTTCAATATATATATATATATATGTACGATAAGAAATATGAAAGCAAGCTTCTAAATTTAATTCAAAATAACCTATTTTATTTTCTATTTCATTTGGGAACTTCATCTATCTGTCCTAAAAATAGCGCTGTATGTCTAAACTGCGTCATTCAAATTAATCATGCGGTCTTACGTAACTCTTAATGCAGATGAATCTTGACCAATAACCAAATTATAAACGAAAACTAAAAACTGAAACTTTTTATTCCCTCTCTTCTTTCTGTGAACTGATGCGTCACTTTTGCTTGTACTTTCCTTTTCGCCAAATCCTATACTGCAATCATGTATGAGCTGCTACATTCGCTTCTATGGCAATAATATCAAAATTGTGAATGTTCTTTAATAGGCACGAGTAGAGTGCCAAGTGAATTGTAGCCACAAAATGGGAATTTAAATAAATAAAAGGAAGTTAATCTGGCTCGACTGCTTCTTCTTCAATATGGATGGACGCTCTAAGCATCAAGTATCTACGCATCTCAGCGTTCGTATTTCAACGCCTACAAAATTTTTCTGCCATTACATTTTTCGGCCAGTTCTAATTATGAAGAAATCTACACGGATTTGGTATTCTGTGTTTACAGTGAATTGTGGGAACTCTGTTTCACCGAAAATTTTAATGTAAGTTTGTGCCGCATTCATAATCAAATCTTTCATGTCGTGTCATCGAACCACAATTTCCTTACATATATATATACATATGTAATATTTTTGAAGCATAGAAGAGGAATCAGTATGCAGTCGTTGCAGCTTATGCTGAAGGCTTACAGGTGAAGATAACAAAACATGAACTTGAAGAATCTTTATTTCCATGCATGTAAAATCATCTCCGTAGATATTTATCCAATCATAATGAAATCCGATACATTTCTATGATTCAACGATAATGAAATATCAAAAAATTTATCAAAAAATTCTATGTATATTGGTTTCTTAAATTTATGACGCAGGCATTTTCGAGAAGCGAAGCGGGAAGATATTAGCAACGTAGAGCTATGTAGAAGAATGATGTAAGTAGCTCGTCAGAGGTATTTATACCAAAGTTGGCGCGATTCTAGAAACAATCTATCAGATTGTTTCTAGGACAATGTACTCAAGGACCTCATTCCGGATATGAATTCCTGGGGTATTTATAGAATTCCTTGCCAGTGCGGTTTAATTTACATTGGCCAAACTAAGAGAGCCTTAAAATTTCGCGTCAAAGAACATGAGGCATATGTTAGAAAAAAGGAAACACAGAAGTCTTCTGTTGCTCAACATTGTTGGTCCGAAAATCACACTTTCAATTTTTCTGCTGCCAAAATTATTCAAAAAACATCTTCCATTGGAGAACTGGATTTTCTAGAGGCATTTCACATTCATAAAAATCTTTCTGTTCTAGTTAACGATCCTAATTCCAATCCAAATTTGCCTTCGGCTTTTAGAGAAATTATGTTTTTAGTTCTGGTTTCGCCAACAGATGGCGCCACTTGCTTATTCTTGTCCAGGCTTTCTTATCTTATCTAAACATTATTTCCTATCTTGTTCATTTGCGGTTTTGCAGCTGAAGATGATGGTTCGGTAAAACCATCGAAACTAGTCCTGTGAAAATTTTGTAAATTAACGCTGATTTTTGTTGTTTGACTTCTGAATTAGTATTTATTCGGCGTGTTATTGTGTCTTAATCTATCAGATCTTAATTAATATTAGTTTTAGCTGCCCTTTTTCAGTAGCGTTACATAACATAGAAAGATCTCGAATTTGGGAGACCAGATGAATTTAGAGGGAGAATGTTATTTTGGAGTCGCCAATTATTATTAAAGTAGCTATCGTACTTTGTTCTGTCTTACATATATATGTATGTGTGTGTAATTTTGATATTGATGAAGCAGTGAAAAATATGATTTATTGAATGACGGAGATTAGGGCATTAAAGAATGTTAGCTCTCATGCGGATTTAACTTTTACTTTCTTGTACGAAGTTAAAGTATTGAAATTGCAACTAATTTTGGGTGTCATATTTCAACGAAAATATCCACTTGGATGCACTTTAATGAAAATCGCATCCATTTGAATGATTTTCTTTTTTGCGTGATATCTGTACTTACGGATAAAATAAAGGACTATTTTTCCTCCAAACAGATTGTGAAACGGATTTAAAATGGATTCAAAAGAGTTTTTCTCATAACCTCTGTATCTACATATGTATCCCGCATATCTCAAACATTTGTAACCGTAAAGCACTGAAATTTTTCATATGGGACTGCTATAATACGTAGTTGTTCTCCTCGCGTTTCCGTTGCAATAGGCTACATAATAGACACACACGTATGTATATATATAGGATGCACCATAAATGTTGCGACAAACTTCTAGAAGAGGTAAGATAGGAACCTATACCCGGAAATGTCAGGGGTAAGTGGTAGGAGAATATCAGGGGTAGAGGTAGAAGATAGGAAAAGAAGAATGAGTGATTAATTTGAAACATTTATTGGACATGAATACAATTGGTGTACGACAGCTCGAATAATACAACAGATGCTCGAAGTTTGCCCCATCAGACGCCAAACATACCTGACGCCCACGGAACATTTGAATGCCGCGAATTATTTGGTCTTTCTCGAGCAGGTTCTTTCCGATTTGCTTGACGATATTCCACCAAATGTGAGGCACAAAATGCGATTCCAACATGATGGGGGCCCTTGCTCATTTTGGAGTGCTCGTAGCCATTTGAACAGATCATTCCCGCATCCATGGATTGGGCATGGTGGTCCAGTTCCCTGGCCCCCATGCTCACCGGATTTACTAAGCCTTGATTTCTTTTTGTGGGAAGCTATCAAAAGTGTCGTGTATCATGATCCTGTTGTGTCTGAAATGGATCTCGTGGTAACAGTCGCCTGCGCAGCTGCTACAGTCAAAGAAACTCCCTAGTGTGTTTGAACATGTCCGGCAATAAATGGTCCTTCGGTGTCAGGCATGTTGACTTCTGACGGTGCAAACTTCGGGCATCTGTTGTAACATTCAAGCTGTCGTTCACCATTTGCATTCATGTCCAATAAATGTTTCAAATTAATCCCTCTTGTTTCTTTTCCCATCTTGTATATAAACTTATATTTTTAGTACTTTGTGTATATTTATTTTCTGTTAAATTATTTATTAATTAAATCAGACTCTGTAGGAAGTTTGCGATCAGAAAATTATTCTTGAACGTTTGTAACCAAATATATGCAAGCACATTTGTAGTAAGAAATCATAAGTATGCATATTTGTGATAAGAAATGCTTTCAATTTCAGTAAGATTAAACATTAACGTGTACAAATATTCGCACAACCAAATGATAAAAATGTAAATCAATTCATTTTATAATAATTCTTTGTCTGTTAACCCTTTTCACATTTCATTATGATACGTATTAAAAATGCATTGCTTAAAACTTTGTTTAATGATATAATTTATCATGTGAAATGAATATGTTTCTGCCGTTGAGGCAGCTGAGGCATACGGACACATGAAATCAAATTGTTATAAAATGATAAATTCAATGTGATTATCATTTCTATTTTTTCTTTTATACAGAGAGCTGGGACGATGGTGATAAGCGATTTAAGACTTGAAACTCGACCATGCATGAATGAAATAGAAAAAGTAACTTCGGAAGAACGAGAGCAATCAGATTCCCTAGAATACGGCTATTTTTCTTCGCATCGTGATATGCATCTTTATGGAGGTATTAAAAGAATATTCAAATGAATTTATTTATAAATTGCAGATAATAATGCCTAATTTAGTTAAAGCTTTGTTGATTAATAGTTTAAATGTTAATGAGACATTTCAGAATTCTTAATAATAATGTAGAGTCATTAGGTCTTTTTGATGCTGAAGACGTAAAAAATGTGCAATACCCTGGCTGGGACTCGAACCTGGACCTCTCGAATACTCTCTTAGTGTGCTCCCAATTACACCACGAAGGCATGCTGGAAAGATTTAGAAAATACGTTATAACAAAAACATGTATTTTGTTAATTAGCAACGAAATTAGTGAAATTGAGAAAAGATATTTTATGTTTAAGTCTATCTGTACTTTGTTTTTGAAAATTTCAAACTCTTGCCTAATTTTGAAGAGCTGAAAAATTAACACGACGTGTTGGATACAAAATGAAATCTGTCATCGTGAATCAGCCAGGAAAAGGCAACTATTAAGCCTTTGCATTTGAAATGGCTAACTTCGTTGATTCACGCCCTAAACTGTATGTACTGGAAAAATCCTCAGTCATGTTTAAGGGGTTATTGCACAACCTGTTGCCAGCTGTCGTGTTTTAAGTGATTTGCAAGTGTAGCTGACACTGTGAACTGAAATGTGGTAGATGATAACACATCACTACCTCAATTTTGTCGCTAGATTTCGTATATCAGTGCTGGTTTTCGCTGGGTTTCGTATCAGTGCGAATACGCTCATGCTGTAAGTGTAGTATGTCATACTAATATTCGAAAATCCATGCTTCGAATTTTGTAATAGAATTGTTGATTTTTTAGTGTTGTGCTTCAGAAAGACTAACCGTCTTTATACTTTATTGTAAAAAACTGACTATTCTTAAATTAGACAAAATTCAACATTAGACTAATTTTAGTTTTATTGAAATGCTTTATGGATTTCAAGAAAATCTGACACAGGTTTATTTTCTGTAAGAGACTAAAATATTTATGTGGACCTGGCTGATTTGTTTTATGGTGTAATGACACCCTCTCGTTGTAGTGATTATAGCTGCATGCTGCTGTGTCCCACGACCTTGCGGCTGCGTCAGCGCAATACGCTCTAATATGATGTGATAGCCGACAGTTACAAGTTAAACTGGAAATCGCTGCATAAAATCCGAATATTTACTTCAAAGCCCAAATGGCTCACATGGTTTCAAAGCTAATGTGAAAATTTACTTTTCAGTACATTCGTAGCTGATGACCCTGGGTGGCTATATATACTTTCTTCGTAAAGTTATAATATGTTCACAAAGTTTTTCACAATTTTCCTTTGTTTTTGAGCTTTATTGTACTTTATGACCATTTGTTATGAAGTACAGTAAAACTCAAACTTACATATAGAAGAAATTATTGAGTTTCTAGTTTTCTTGCTACGTTACACTTTCATTTTCATTCTTTCTCTTAAATTATGAAAATGGTTTCCTAGTTCAACGCTGAAAGTACCAGATTTTGAAGAAAAGAATCTAATTGATTAATTTACCATTTGAGTACTCAGGTATACTTTCAAAGCATTTTAAAGTAAAATTATTTCATCATCTTCTCGAAATCGGGCAATTGAATTATAGATTCTTTAAAGTATTTCATATTTCAAACATGAATATTAATAATAAGTTCAACTTCTACAAACTACATATTAGAATATGAATGAGCAGAAACGTTTTTGAATTTTTTGCACTGTTCAAAAATTATTGAAAAATCCATCAAATATTTTTTTCTAATTATCTGGACTGGAGCTTAGAAACTGAACAGAAAAAAAAAAAAAAAAAAAAAAAAAAAAAAAAAAAAAACGCAGATATATTTGTTTAAAAGTGTTTTTCCGAAGATGCAAACCTAACATATACGAAAATCAGATGACAAGAACTCCGCAGTTTCAGTCCAAGGATACATAACTTTGGACTAGTCCAAGGGATACATAACTTTGGACTTTTAACTCGTCAAGTACTATAAAATTAAGTTAATACATGTGAAACACTATTTACTTTCTAGCAGTTCAGTTGTGGCACACAGAATTTGTTTCTTTCCACTTTTAATTAAATTTGGTGTTATTTTTGGACTTCCAGTACTATATATGGTTTCTGTTAGCTACACCCTGTACACACACACATACAATACAGTTTTTTAACTTTTATTTTTTTCCAGTAGAAAAATATACTTTCATAAATCTAAACATTATCCGCCTAAACGGGGAAGTGATTATTGACGCTGACTGCCGTACCTCAAGGCGCGGATGCATATAACCATTCTGTACCGCGCCACGCACATAGGGAAAAATTCCTCCTCGTGATTGGATATGTCTCCCGATGACATCATTTCCTCCACGCTTAGGAATGCCTTGACTTTGCTTGGGGTCGAGGGTATACCTCCGTATGTTTGTTTACATTTTGATAGCAGTACCAAAAAGATTATTACGTGCGTTCTATTTTTGTTGATGTGAGATTACACTTCTTACAACACCTTGCGAATTTAATATAAAAAAATAGTAATTTTTATATTAGAAGGTAGGGGAAAAATTACTAATTTTTTCACCTTCCTTCTAATATAAAAATTACTATTCTAGAGAGAAAAAATGTTATTTTTTTCTTTTGCTTACTCGGTAAATGTGTATTAAGTACATAAATGTTTGATAAATGTATTCTTAATTTAAAATACTTCATATTAAAGGAGTTGTTAGCATTGCTTCATGTTCATTATATATCTATTTTTTTGCAGACGCAATCTCCGAAAACATGATTCAAGTCAGTTTTCGGACAATAATATAACATTATATTATTAATAATATAACATGGCAATAATATAACATTTGCAGAGGAAATATTTCCTGCAATGTGAATGGAACAGAATGCAACAAAACTGCAATAATTACAATATACTTACTGGCACACAATGCCTTCATAATTGGACCGAGATAGTCGCGTTTCGGTTTTTGAACTAAATTCATGAACTCAGCTATTTATATAATCTAAGCGTTTAAAATTGCTTCTGATATTAACAACGCCTTTTAAGGATTTTATAATTTTATCATTTCATAAAACAGGAAGCCTACTGCAGAACACTGCGGTTAAATATTTTCGTTTCAAAGACTTCCGTAATAAACGGTAATTTTTCAGACTTCCGTTTCACTTATGCTGGTCATTCAACGAAAACAAAACCGTATGACGTCTAAACGTCATTACGCCAAGAGAAAATGATGTCACTGGAAAGTATGTACAGGTCCGGGTTCGAATTATGCAGAAAACATAGCTGTAATTGTCCGTCCCTCATAGGAGGCAACGGTGTCCTGCCTATTATGTGCCTCTACAATAAAGAGACCACAGCTTCCAGCCTTAGCAGTGGCCGATATTTATAAAAGGTTACAGCCAGCCATGGGGAAAAACAGAACATAAATATTAATCAAAATACTTGCAAATTACTGCCAGTATCTTGATATTCGCCAAACGTAGACAGTATCTGCTAACGTTTTTAATCTATCCTTATAGAAATAGACATAAAAATTCCTTTAAAATTCTCAATTATGAATCTACAGTTCCTAAAATATTAAAGATTAATACAATCAAAGGTATATCTTCGATTTTAATAATCAGTTAAGATTCAGTCACCCTGCATGCAGAAATGTTGTTTTATATCTAAATTCTATTCTTCTGTTAAAATCGTTAATTAAAATTGCTGACAGCTCTTTATAGTTTTCACCACGTATAACTTACGTATAAAAAAGAGAGTGGGATATACTCTTCTTAGTAAACTGATTTTTAAACATGCACATTGCCTCTACAAATTTTAGAATAAACTCATAAAATTGAAAACAAATATGCTATGAGGTATTTCTCCCGCCTTCCTAGAGCGCTTTTGTGGTATAGTGGTCTGCACGCTGTGCCGGTATTCCAGAGGTCCGAGGCTCGATTCCTGGCGAAGGCGTTGTTAATTTTTCATCTTTCCTGCTTCCAAAATACATAATAACTCTATAAGTGAGGCCCAATATAAAAGGGTGGTGGATGATTTCTCCCCTAAAAACCCCAGTCGCCCTGGCGTTGCTAATTTTTCATCTTTACTACTTCCAAAATATCTAATGTCTCTACAGTGCAACTAAATAATTCGCTATTTTTTAAACGTTTCACATGCATTCTTTCGGATACCTTCCGGGATGTCCTCCATCAAAATTGGGACGGAGATTTCTCCATTTTCTATGAATATTTCAGTAGTCCTCTGCGGTGCACTCTAAGTAGTTTTTTTTTTTTTTTTTCTTTTTGTAATAAGACGGCTAAATGACTGATGGATTCTGGTCATTCTCAACAAATGCATTAGTTATTGGTATCTGGTCATTTGAAACGATAACAAAAGCAGCATTCCTCAAGATATATATATCTGATGGTACGTTCAAAAGCTTTCTGACCTGCTTCACAGAAGTTAATTTTCGGAGCCCTTTTTAATCTGTTCGTGCAATTTCCTGGATTTCAGTATTTTCGAGATGCTGATTGTTCTGGGTGTTAAGTTACTATCGAAAAGTAATGCAAACTTTCGTTTTCAAATTTTATACCCTCTTATGATTAATTATAATTAGATAGTTGGCTGCAAAACTTTGCATTGAAAACTGAAGTGGAAATTTATGTTCCTGCATCAATGACATGAGCACTGCTGCTACATTTTCCAGTCTATTGCCTACCAGGGAACATAGTAGAATGAAGTAGTTACTTTAGTTAATTAGATATATGATATCCATCCATGAATAGGTTACTTTCTTACTATCATGTCATTCAAAGGATTAAATTTGCAACAAAACGTATATTACTACATGCACTTAATATGGACCCAAATGTATTTAAAATAGAAAGTTATTATTCCTTCTCACAAGAAACAAAAACATGTTGACAACAAAAAATAAATAACTGCAGAAGCAATTATCTTCAGAAGTAAAGCAGAATAAACATTTTTCATACTGATAATTTAAAAATAGTGGCAGGACTTCTATGAATTTTTCTCAAGACTATTCTTAAACTTTATAGATGAATGTAATGATTTTTGGTTAATCTTTTTTGATGAAGAGAATTCAAAGGACTAATATAGTCTTTCCAATTACTTTTAGAAGAACATAATTAATAGGTCTGAAATATAGTCTTTCATTATACAAGCAAATTAAACAATGAATTACAAATAACTTTCGAACTTCTGTTTTTGGTTTTAATAGGAATTTCACAGCAAAGATTAATTTTTCCTCGTGAAGACGTTGAAGAACTATCTGACAACAAAATTTCTGGATCAACTCCTATTTCAGCAGAAGAAATACGAAGTTATTTTCCAGAAACATGGTTATGGGAGCTACATACAATTGAGTAATTTTCATTTTTATTTATGTAGAATGCTAAAAATGATGATTTCTTTTGTGGCGTTATATAAAAGTTGTCCTCCTAAAGAGTTAATTTTGAACTGTAAGATATATTTTGATAAATTTCAAATTTCATTAAAAACATTGCTTAGGTCGTACTAAAAAAGTAATGTGGAATTTTATGCTCACAGTTTTCGTATTAAAATAACTAAAATGTTAATTAATAAAAAATATTAAATAAATTTTAAATAAGAATTTTAATCGCCATTTTGATACCTAGCTATATTAGGTCTTAAGGTCACTAGAATACATTTAGCGATAAATTATATCTTTTAACACTTGCCACGGCATCGAAAACTATTAGCGTATTTCAGTTTGCAGCTAGCTTGCAAGTATGTGGTAATCAATTACATTAAATACAAGTATGTTTTTTAGACAAAGAATTTGTTAAAAGTAACCAACTCTCTTTCTTGTTTACAGCATAGAAATGGAGTAAATTGATTTTAAACTGCCTCAAAATCCACGTTTATGGAAAGAGAACAGTCATAATGAACAGTATCTTCATTATTCTGAATAATTTTGTTTCCTATAGCTTTATGCGAAGCCCCCTCCCCCCAAAAAAAGATCAATTAGAATCTTAGCATCAAGACGAGTAGCCTCTATTGTAAGTTTTGTGAAAGAAAAGCTCATTTTTCAGTATTATTTTAAGTTTTGCGCGTCAAAATTGAAATATTCTCGTATCGAGCATGGTATGGTGGGGACTGACATTTCGCTTTTGTATTGTGAGGACACTGAAGCGTATCATATATGAAACACCTCGAGAGAAGACATTAAATTATTTCACAGTATAGAAATTATGATATAAGCTTCTAAAGATCAGGAAAAACAAACACTTTGGTAAAACCTTAGAAGAAATTACAGCAAAATATAGATGGATTTCATTTCAGATGTAATATTGAAGATTAACTGCATATAATAAACAGTTAAAGGCTTTCTTGAAAATGTTAATCTATGCCATTGTGTTGAACCCATATTTATACAGAATCATCATATAATATGGACATAAAGTGCAGTTCATTTCAATCTAATAAAAATCCTCTTTTCGGTAGATCACAGTTTTGCTGCGTATATTAGCTCTAGAACTGATGCAGTTATTCAAATAGCAAGGTATGATCATTGAGAGATACGTATCTATTTAATGAGCTTCTCATGGATTTACATTAACATAGCATATATTACTGAGATATGGACAGCTTAATCTTTGAAACAAGCACGAGACTGTTAATAAGATTAAGCAAGTGTCTTCTGTGTCCTCATAGAATGTTGGCGTTGCTCGTAACTGCGATCCGATATTGATGGCACTTGCCCATTCTTGGTTGGCTAGCTGCTGTCCTAGGTCGAACTTCTCGTTTAATTACCCGCATCTTATTTTTTGTGCTTTTGGTAGAAGTTAGAAACGCTTTACGTCTTCTGCGGTCTACGATTTCAGCACGTAGATATGAATCTTTGTGTACATCAAGAGGTGAATCGAAATATAAAGAATGTGCTATTATTTAATAACTTTTCTCGAGTTGCAAGAAAGGAATGTAATGTTTTAAATGTTTATATTTTTATACTGCCCGGTTAAACCTTTGAGCGCAAACACTTATTTTTTAATTATTTCTTTAATTTTATCATTTACTGAGATTTTTTCAAAGCAATGTAATTTTCTGAGAAATTAACTCTATTGTCTTCTGTTTTTCCTGTAAAATGTTGTCCATTTTTGTAAAACTTTTATAAAATCAAAAGAAATGCTGTCAATTTAGTGAACATGAAAAACAAAATCTGGGAGACCAAAACTGAGCCACACCTATCTCTTTGGCGCAATAAAATTAAACAGGCGAATAGCTATAGGAATATAATTTATGAAATTAATGGTTTCTCGATAATTTGAATTATTGCTATCTCAGACAATTTGTTGTTATGCGAACAGAAATTGAAATTGTATGGAATGCATTTCATCTGCCATGCTCACAAAATCTTATTTACTTGCAATAAGTAAGGAATTTCATTATTTTGGCTGAAATTACTTACTAAACTTCTCCAGAAGGTATCCTCTCTCTCAGACAGTCCTAGTGTGCTCTAACCGATCTCAATTCAGTCCTTTTATATATTAAAGAGAAATATTATTAAAATGAGTTAACAGTAATTCATGCCATAATTATTCCTGCAATTATAAACTTTGTATTTTTAATATATCTGTATATTTGGGTATGTACATGATGTATTTACAATAAACTACATGGGGGGGGGAATATGAAATTTATTATTTTTAGTGCAAGTAATTTTTGTCTTTAAACAAGTGTGTACTTGTCATATTGTTCTTAAACACAACTGAAATTAGCATTGCAAATAATATTGCTTTGAATTATTTGTTGGATTTATACACGAATTTAAGATAATATATCATTATAAAAGTCAGATTAAATAAAGCAGTGTTTATTTTAATGTTTGCGGATGACCTCAAATTTTATGTGCTTTCATGTCTGTGAAACAAATGCGTGCCCATGGAAATTACTGATTTTCCAAACAAATTTAAAAAAATTGAGATAGAAAAATATACTTGATAATATGCCTAGATGTCAGTGCAAAATATGCAAAATAAATAAATTTTGAAATTGTTATTATAATGTATTGTAAAAATATTTGCTCTACACTATTGTTGTTAACGCCTATTTCTCACTGTCACAGAAAATGCGTTTATAAGCCTTTCGTATTAAAATTAATTTGTGCTCAAATATTTTCTGGAATTACTTTCTTTTATTATGAACTAATTCATTGGTACTATTTACAGTTCGAAAGGTGAAACGATCGTGAAACGGCAGCTACCTCATACCATAACAGAATGGGTAGGAGAAGCAATGTGCATCCATTCCAACACTGGTCTAGGCTTTTCGGAAACAAGCAGTATTATTACCTTTCAACCATTTTTCGTCTCTATGCAGTTGCCGGATTCTGTAATCAGATACGAAATAGTGCCTATTTCCGTGTATGTTATCAGTCATTTGACAGAGTGCCTGCCGGTATGAATATTTTTTTTTTCATTTTTCTTTCATTTTCTTTTTGGAAGTGAATGACACCCATTTTCTCCTATGTTTAATAATAGGATTGTATTGCTTCGTAAATTTAATCACGAGTAGTAGAGGTCTAGAGGAGGAATGATAGAGTTCTATTTTTTAGGAATAAAGTAGTAGGGGTCTATGTGGAATGCATTTAATTTAACGCTGATGATTTCTTCATAGAATGGTAATTTTCAATAACGCAGTCTCGTTCGTTAAATACAATCTCGTTTACACCCAACCTGTAGCAATATGCTCTTTTTTGTTTAACACAGTCATTCCAGATTAGAATGATTATTGCACACACAGCAGGATTTCAATTCTAGGCAACTCGTAAACTTTTGTGATTGAGAAGCTGTGTAGGAAGCAGATATTAAAACTGCATAAAATATTCAGTTCGACAGTCCTTTTACTGGAAAGGTAGAATGGAAAGAAACATGTTAGATAGACGCCTTTAGATAGGATTTCGAATGGCAGCAGTTTATTGTTCCTTATTTTTCTCCTTTTGTTCACAAGCACACTCAGAATTACTCTGTGCCAAAATAAACCGAGAGCTTAAGCATTGGCAACTACGTAGGCTTTGTTCAATGTCAATAATTTCAATGCTTTCCTCTTTAAATGGAAAAATTACTAAATCTGCGTTCAGTACTTAATATAACGTCTCTAATATGCCCACTTGAAACTAATATAACTTTCGTTTAGATATTATTTCCAGAAAACGCACCATGCATTCCAGTAGCATTTAGTCATAAGATTATAAACATATACAGTTTTAATATAATTATTGTGCATCAATATGGCAAACGTGAGTATTCATTAAATTGAGTTTTAGAATCCAGATATAAGCAAAAAATAAAAGGAAACAGAAGGAGGATTTTGAAACCTATAAAGAGAGAAAGGTATTTGAAGAGACACCATATTTAAACGTGCAGTTAACCTTAGAGTATGTAATGACATACGAGTATGTTTATACTTAAGCATTGTAAAAAATAACTGACATGAAACAGTGACAAAAGATCCTACGAAAGCTTATAGAAAACCTATGTTGCAAGATATAATATTTAAAAATTAGATATTGAAATCCCTTTAAGCATATTGTTCTATAAATTATCATTTTTGGTTTTGGAGGTTATGAATTCAGTTTCTTTTCAGATCAAAATATTTTTGGAGTCAAGTGAGGATTACAAATTCACTCCTGAGTATCCATCATACAAGATGTGTGTTTGCAATAGTGACTTTCATCTCTTTATGGTGCATTTCGTAAGTTTAGGCAAGGTGAACATTACAGCATACGCATTTTCAATCGAAGATGATGAAATTTGCGGCAATAAAGCCACTGCAAGATTTAGTGCCAGCGATGCCATCATGAAGCAGCTTGACGTTAAGGTTTGGTATTTTTATGTGCATCCGATTCTGTTTAAATGGGCTTTTGATTTAGTTTCGAAATATTTTAGAAACATCATTTAGAAATAATATATGAAATCTTAGTCGCTTCCCTTTGCTATAATTTTTCATCATTTAGTGATTTCATGATTTCATTACATTACAGCATGACAAAAATGAAGAAATATATTTTTCTTTGAAAATAGAATAAATCTAACCATCAGCGAGAAGGCCGCAACATCTAATTACTTTAAAAAATAATGTAAAATTAAATAAATCTTTTTTTGAATATAAACTGTCTGTGTAACGGTTTTGTAACGGCTGGAGCTGTGTAACAGCTTTGGATAGCTCCTTTGGTATTTTCGTTTTATATTTGACTTCGCGAGATAACGAAAACGACGCTGCCACAAAGTATGTTTACGAAAGTGCAGTTTGTTGCTAAATGGTAAAAACAGGCACCAAAAGGAAACTGACCATGGCGAAATTTCTAATCTACACGTTGCTTTTTTCTGTCAGCTACAGAAATTTGTTAATGTTAAGTTAATGGTTTTTCGTTTCTTTATCTGCACTTTATTTACTATTTTAAGATGGTTATTGACGGAAAAAATTATTATTGACTTTTTATTTATCACGTCGATGATGATAATACATTCGAATATATATCTATATCTATATCTATATATATCTCTCTATATCTCTCTCTCTATATATATATATATGTATACATGGTGCCAGAAATTCAAAAATATAATCTAAATTATTATAGTTCAGTGTACTACAAATTCTAATTCGAAACAAAAGCTCATAGTTACGTAATTTAGTGTTCATCCCTCCAGAGTACTCAATCTATGGATCTGATGAAAATTGTTACAAGAATATTCCCCATAGCTATCTAAAGTAAACACAGGACAGTTTCTTTCGCGATATCACAAACATAATTCACTTTCTCGCGTGGATAAGAATGTGCGCACACATGCACACACATATATATGAAATATATATATATATATATATATATAAATATAAGGAAAGAGATAAGCAGATATAGATATAGATGTAGATATGTACACATATCTTTAAATTATATATACGAAATATCTTTGTGATCTTTCCTGCTAAAAGCCCATGCTCACAAACAAGGTTTTATAGAACGTTGTAGAGAATTAGGTATTTTTGGAAGCAGGCAAGATGGAAAATGAGCAACGCCTTCGCCGATAATCGAACGGCGGACCTCTAGAATACGCGCCCAGCGTGCTGACCACTACACTATGAAGGCATGCTAAAAAAAGCGGGAGAAATACCTTATATACTCACCCTTTTAAAGAACGACTGGAGTTTTAGGGGCCCCTACGCCTTTTTCTGAGCAAGCGGGATACTGAATTAATTGTCTTAAAACAAACAAATTTATCTGAAATTCTGCAATAACACATTCGGCTGAGGCTTTTCTGGAAATGTTTGCACGTTTTTCCTCATTTTACACTTCTTTGATTTCATTTGAAGTGTGGGATTTCTCAATCTTTTTCTCCTCTTTCTTAGCTGAGAGCCGTTCGATAACTTCTTGCTGTTGCACGTGATGTAGGTCCATTAGTTGGTCGGTCTCCAACTCTTCTGATCACAATCTTTCCCCAACTAGCAAATATCGTCCTCATTCATTTCCATTTCCTTGGTCATCTCCAAAGACAAAATGTAACCCACAATTGGAGCCCTCTGTTCATGAATAAACTCTTCAAAAGCATGTCCGAGAGCATAGTCAGGTCACAATTTCCACCATGTAGAATTGAAGGGTCTCCTGGTACTCCATTCTACGCTTATAATTTTGAGGGTCACAGTATGAAAAATGATGTTTAAAAAAATCTCTAAAGGTAAGGTTTGATTCTTCTGCATCGAATTATCGCTGAAATATTGCTTTGATGCTAAGCTTTTTATATTCGAAATGATCCACTAATCCATGGGCTGAAGTAATGAAGTTGTACTGTAAGAATGAAACTTGCAGTTCGCAATGAATCTTGAGTCACTTCCGACTAGATTATATCTTGACGAATGAATTTAAAATATTGAAAAAAATAATTGAAAAAAGTTTAACTTTTCATCAGCTATTTATTTTATTTTATATTGACTTTGTTTGTTTTAATTTAATTTAACTTAATTTTATTAAATTACTAAAAATGTTATTTTATCTAGACATTAAGTTTTAAATTAGTTTTGAGTCACATCCATCATGATTCAGGAACGTGGCTCTGTTGAAAATCTTTACGTCTGCTTCTTGAAAAAGAACCAAGAAATTTCAAATTTTTATTGCTCATATTTATTATTTAATATTGTATGAATATTCTTGTACTGAATTACTTTTATTTTTGTTTCTGTTAGTAAGTTTACTTCTTGCTTCTATGAAAAATTTATCTGTTTGTTATCTTTTGATTATTTATGTAAATATAAATTATGTAAATATTAAATATGTAAATATTTTCTTTCTTTTTTGTTAGGCAAAAGAAGAAACCTATTATTCTACCTGCCCTAAAGGTAAATCCGTTAAAAGCTATTTTAAAAGAATTAAATGAATAACTCTCGTTTCTTTTCTGTGAAAAATGGTCCAGGCTAATCATTTGCTTTTTGTTGAAAGGAATTAAAGTTTGAATACTTATTAGTTTGAAAAGAATTTATAAACTTAATTTTGCGGAGAAGAGGGGAGTAACACTTCTATAATTTGGACAAGTTTTATGGAAACGTTTAGCAGGTTCACTAGTAGAACACATTAATGCACATTTTAATAGCACAAATTTTAAAATTAGCTTAATTACAATCAAGAACTATCAGGAATAATCTTTCTGTTACCGTTTCGAGTATTACCCGTTTATTAACGCTACGAGGTCGACATATGTATAGAAACTAACAACTTATGTATAATAAGAATCGCCGTTTTTTTCCCAATCATCCGATTTCTACCAGTTCTATAACATCCAGTTAATGCTTAAAAAAAATGTTCAGGTACAGAAGGGAGCGAGAGACCAGAATTTCACGATTGGTCAAATGTGTATCGTTCTGCCTCACTTATTGAGGGAGAACTCAGTAGGGAGGGTGGTCCGAGAGTCATCAATACCTCTTCCGCGTCCACTAACCTTTCGAGTATTTTGAGCGTCCCACTGCTGAAGAGACACTATACACCTGCAAACATCCACGAAATTTGAGCCCGGATCCATCGGTACGACAATCAGCGTCACTAACCACTATACCGGGTTAGCGGCAAAAGGTTTGTACAGAGAAACACATATTTTTGCCTCAGAACTGTTAGGTATTAAGTTGTACTCTCAAAATTTAATCTTGTAATTTTTTCTAGATTTTGAGAATTGATTGGGGAAAAACACGATAGTAAAATTATTACACTGTCTTCCTTTGCTTGAAATTTAAAATTAAATTGAAGTATTTTAATAATAACATGCGATTAAATAAACAATAGAATGTTCCACAATGAGTTTTAAGAATTGCTATTTGATTGAGAAAGATCATTTTTAAAATTGGGCTATTGTAAGCTTTTATTTAGCTCAATCAACAACTTGAAAAGTGATTCGGCCATTTAAAGTGATTCGAAGTCAAATGCCGTTTTGAGATTTAAAGCTCTTCTGGGCTAAAACACTTGTAACACATAATTTGTAGTTCTATAGCTACGAGTTTACCAATGAGTAAATTCGACGAGCAAATCGGTTTGCATGACATTTTGCCAAAACACTTAAGATTCACATCGGACTGAACCGTATGTATTTCATTTGTTAGAAAGAAAGATTATTGCATGGTTCTTATCCATCCTCCCTATTTCATAAATAATTGGCATGCGTTTTTAATGCTCATAGTTTGGTACCTAAACAACAGCAGCATTTTAAGGGGGCTCATACACCTTAAACCCCTTATTCTTCGAATATGTGAATTGGGAATTGCAAGAATTGGGATATTTTACTTATTTTAAAAGCAATTACTTCCAACCTTTTACAGATGACTACATAATACAGCTGCTTTGGGAACTAGTAACCAGAAAGTTTGTGTTGCCACAAATATTTTTGTAATATAATCCGCTTTGTGACAAAATGTTTCGTCATGTTTCCACCTTGCACGCGTAATATTTTAAAAATGGCTAATGGCACATGCTTGAAATTATATGGAATTCTTTATATAAGCACTATCTTCTAACTAAACCAAAAATCTGATGAATATTTTAATATTAACCCGGCGCACCAAGAAAAGTTACTAGAGTAGGCGCTTGGGGAATCACATACCCCAATATTTAAAATATGATAAAAATAGTTTTATTTAGTTTTAAAGCTGTTTTTCTTGTTCTCGTGTATTATAAATACGCGAATAATAATTGGGTTTTAAAAAATTAATTTCCAAGATAATCTTAGAGTTAAAATTAAGATAAATGAAAATAATAAAAAAATAAACATCATGCCTCTAAGTTTCATTGCATCTCTAATACAGAATGCTTATTTTATTTCTTCACACTTTGAACGAAATACATTCATGTGTTCTTGGCACAGAATGTTCTTCGTCGAAACTTCTGCTTTTGTTTTGCATGCAGTACGTCAGTTTCTTGGTAAAGTATTAATCTCTGATCTTTGTTCAATACTTTTTTTCATTAATTGTAATGATAAGTCCTTCAAAAACAGACTTCTGTTTCTGGTTGGTGGTTAAACAGTCGAATGTAATATAATTCAAGCATTTATTACAGCAACATTCAATGTAGGAAAGAAAAATACCATTGGCCACATCTTTGTTATTCTGGCAATTGAATAATTGGCTGACATTTCATCCCCCATATCCACTGCTCCTTTAGTCATATTATAAAAACATAGAATTCCTGACGTTTTATTTTCTCCAATAGTGTCATATATAGTATGATCGTTATATAATGTTGAAAGCATAAGGACAGTTTTTCCTTTTTTAGGGACATCAGGAATTAATGTTTTATCTTTTTCGAAACCAGAACAGTGTAGAAAATATACCTATTTCATCTTCAGTTTCCAAAATGCAATCTTCATCGCTTTCAAATATTTCTAATAAATCTCACAGACATTGCATCTCCAATTCATAGGGAGTCATTCCTTTTTACCATAATGCAGTTAGAAATTTTTAAGAATTTAATGTCACATACTTTAAAATCACTTGCGAGTAGAAATATTTACTGTTACACTCTAGGAATAAATTTCTGAACTAAATATTCAGTCAAAAAAACACTTACGCGGACAGGCGCGTGGGGTGTGTCATACCCCAGTTCCAACAAAATACCGATAAATCCTTTTCTGAAACACACAGGCAAAGAAAAAGCGCTTCTGAAAGTCAACCACAATTAGAAACTCAGCTACTGAAAGCAGCACAGAATTTCAGTTTCACTAGCTAGGAATATTCCAATTTTATGTAGGGTTGGGGTATGATACACCCCACGCGCTTTCCCGCGGGTTAAAAACTTTTATGCAAGAAAACATTACAGATTTTTTTAAATAAAAATACATTTTATAAACTCAACTCCAAATAAAATAAAAATTTAACATGAAATTCTTAGAATTTTTGGTTCACAGTAGTTTCCAAATGGTATAAAAGCTACATATTAAACATGGAATTAAATTATGCGACAGAATGTTTTAAACTGTGCGCGCAAGGTAGAAACATGACGAAAAGTTTTGTCAAACAGCGGATTAAAATTATAAAAATATTTGTGGCAACACTAATTTTCTGATTACTATTTCAGAAAGCAGCTATATTATGTAGTTAGCTATAAAAAGTTGGAAGTTATTGCTTTTAAAATAAGTAAGTTATCCCAATTCTTGCAACAGTCACATAGTCGAAGATCTTAAGGGTTTTAAGCTGTATCAGTCCCCTTAAAAATCGTGTGAACGTTGTTATTTATCAAGGCTCAACGAGACAACATTTTTCTCAGAGTTCAGACCGTCGCTTACATTTTAATGCAAATTTGGAAATAAAATATTTTGAAGTAAGGTAAATGATAAATAAATTGTTAGAAGTAAAAGAGTGATTATTCTTAACGAAAAGAGATTTTTCAGTTTAATAATTTGATTGATAATATCAGATTGACAATATAATATGTTATTGACTGATAATATGTTATTTATACTAAAAACAATAAATTTTAAGATAAATGACAAAAATTATAAAATAAGCTTGCTTTTAAAGCTCATAAAATAAAGAACGAACTAAAAGAAAAAAATAATTTTTTACTTTGTTTAATGGTAACAATACAGAGACATTAGGTTATTTTGAAAGCAGGAGTGATGAAAAAAGCAACGTCCTCTCCGGGAATCGAACCACGGACCTCTGGATTATGCGCCCAGCGTGCTGGCCACTACACTACGAAGCCATGATAAGAAGGCGGAAGAAATACCTTATAACAAGAGCTTGAATATTTCTTGTTTCAAAATTCATCTTCAGTTTTATATTACTAACAAAGCTTGGGTGCCTAAACTAACGAAATCTAATAATCGATTTGCGTTGTCAAAAATATAAAGCATTACTTTTATACATCTACCAAGAGTGCTTTTATTATTCAAGATATAGAATCGTAAATTTCGTGAAAAATGCACTAGAATCGTAAATGGGTTTGTAAAGATAATCATAAAACCTTTTGTTTGTAAAAATTATTTTTCTTCTGTTAGTTCATTCAATATTTTATGAGTTTTAAATAAAAATATATTTTATAAAAAAATTTTTGGTTGTTTTTATCTTTCTGCTAAAAGACCGTTTTCTGTTTTAGATGTATGTGGTTGCATTTTGCAAGGAAATAATGGCAATATCACCAGCCCTTCTTATCCTGATCGCTATCCACCTAACCAGAATTGTGTCTGGGAGATATTGGCACCACCCCGCTTCACCGTTATTCTAAATTTCACTCACTTCAATCTGGAAGGATCCTCTTCGGTATCATATAAATTTCCTTTAATTTATAATTTGTAAATTAAATGTGACTATATTCACCTTAAAGAAGGTACTATGCTTTCAATAAGCAAAATAACTCTCATTTTTTCTCCCCTTTTAACTCCCCTTTATAAATATGTGTAGGAACTTACATCGTGTCATTATCATCCTACGTTAGGCCTTAAACAAAATTTGTAGTTATCCTACACAGAATGTGCTGTTAGCGGTATTTTAGTACCTCATGAATGTACTAAGGTATTAAAATGTGAAGAATATATTTTACTATAATTTAATCTATTTACCTTTGGTAAGACGGTAAAAATGTCTTATTAGATATGCATATTTTTCATTTTATACTGCAGAAAATAAATTAGGCAAAATGAGGTGTTCATTTATAAAAGACTAAAAATATATCTTTAACTTTTTCTGAGACAATCACAAAGCTAATTATGAAATATATCATATTCATTGCTTAAAAGTTTATTTAAAAAGCTTTTCAAAGACCGAGTATAAATGTCATTTTGTGTTTGAAAATGCACTGCGTAGTGCTGAAGAGGAAAAGTGCTGCATAATCTCGCTGTAAAAGCCAAGGAAAATTGTGAAGACCGTATCGTCCTTATGTGGCTATTCAGATGTGGTTATCGTGTTTACCAGTGGCCGTGTTTCTATCCACCGTGGTGCTGTGGTTTTATGCATTGGACCTCGGCATGGAACATAGTTGCCGAAGAGGAGGAGTAGGAGTAGGAATTTAGTAAAGTATTCTTGACAGCATTTATATGAAGCATTGCATGGAATTGCAACAAAATACTCGCCAAATTAATGAAATGCCAAGTGGACTCTATTGAAGAAATTCAGCAGTTATCATTGCCGACATATCATTCTGTTATCTAGCTTATGTTTTTCTCACATGCCATAGTTTGAAATTCCCTGTTCGTCTATTTTGTTGAGTTTAAGGAAAGCGGTATTAAAATGTATGTTTCCCTTACAACAAATATGCTCCATTAGTAGGCAAACAGATTTAACACTACGTAAGTAATTTAAAAAAAACACTTAAATCCAAGCAATAGGTTGTACGCCAAATTTTCTAGGTCTTCAGGAGTCCACTGAAGATGCAGTAAGTAGAACAGCTGTGTTTTTGGTGGAAAAAAAGTTAGTAAAATTACTCTTTTTTTGTTTGGCTTTGCTGAATTTGCAGATAACTAAAGAAAATGACGAATCGGAGCATTCAAATCAAAAAAGAGGATAATGCTAATTTTGTGATACGACATTTCAGAGTAAGAGTGGTTTTATTCCAATCAGAATTTTGGGAGATCGAGAGTGGGCCAGTTAATCAAGCCAGAATCTTCCGAAACTAACCAAGTCAAACTTGACAAGTTCGTCCTAAAAGATTAGAAAGCATTAGTAATTATTGCTCTGAATGTGAGGCAAAATAAAGATGTCAAACTTCATCCCGGAAAAAATGAGTGCGAATGCAAAAATGCAGGATTACTTAAGTTCTCTCTTCGAACTGTAGATAAAATTGCAAAATAGGATATGAAATTCCAGTACAGGATATGAAATTCCAAGTGAAAAGGGCACAAAACGTCAGAATGTAGCAAAATTGAAAGCAAGAATACTTATCGAGATTCCTCTGAATAAAGTTGTTCTCTCAGTATTGTTCATACAACTCAAGGAATTAGGAATACACATTTGGTGACCTGAATTCAGGAGCAACCGCACACGTGTGCAATGACAGAAGTAAATTTACATCAATAACTGAGTTAGAAAGTGAAGTTCAGTTATATAGCAAATAATGAATTTCTAGAAATCAAGTTAATCAAAAAGTTAAATTTCAACTTTTCCTTTATTTTAACAAGTTCTAATTCAACTTCACATCACATAATACTTTATGATGTACAAAACGTTTCCAATCTAAACATTAACTTAAATTCACTAACTTAGTGACGGAGCATAAATTCACTGTTTACTTTAAAAGTATCCATGGGATGGGTAAAGATAAAAGCAAAACTCTTAGTTTTACAGGCAACAAAGCGAAATATTCTTTATGTTGTAAATTAATGGGATTTACTGAAAGTTGTGCTCCACAGGGTAATGCAAATACGCCAAACATTAAACTGAAACTGTGACATGAAAGGTGGGATCATAAAAGTGTTGTAAAAAGATGGTGCACGATCTAAAGAATCCAAAATGTAGTAAAAAAACTCTATTTTGTGAAATTTATACAGGCACACACTGTAAATCGTGGCATTTTTTTTAACTTTTACACACCGATGTTTATGGTTCCATAAAAGTCACATCTTTAAGGTGGTGCCAAATACATTATAACATTCATCGACGACAAATTGTGGATCAAATCAAATTAAAATTAAAACTGTGGATGAATTTTCTAAATAGAATAATTTAATTTAATATTATCATTAAACTATATGATAAGTTATTTTCCCCTTTTTTGTGTATTAATTATCGTATCCATTTTAAATAAAAGCTTATTGTACAAAAACGTTTTCCGAACTGCATTTTATTTAATGTACAGTAAAATATTGCTTTGAGATTACTAATGTTTGTATATAATATTTAATATTATTTCTTGAAATAGGATGGTTGTCTTTACGACAAAGTAGAGATACATAGTCGAACATCAGTGGAAAATGATCAGAAGCTAGAAGGGATCTATTGTGGAACGGATCGGCCACCAGTTTTGAGATCTAAGAGAAATGTTCTAAAAATCACTTTTAAATCTGACAGGGCTGTGCAAATGAGAGGGTTCGCTGCTCAGTTTTTCACAGGTTATCATTGATTTTATTTTCTTATATATTCACAAAGAATTCGAGCAATGATGAGAAGTTTGCAATTGAAAATATGTGTGGTCAATACAATTATTAAAGTGTTTATTTTCTGTTATTTACAAAATTATTCTTACAAAAAGAAGTTAAAAGGCAGTGCGTGGAATAAGAAAACGACCACTAATGCGCCATCTTAATTCAAGAAGTAAGATGAATATGAAAGTGACAAGTGTGCATAATATGATTAGTTATTTATATTGAAATGTAAAAATTCATTAGAGATTTATTTTTTCTTAAATCTCAGTAAAATATTAGACAAATATAGTTCCTTGCTTCAAGCAAAATACGATCTTCGAAAAATTAAATTATTTTCTTATTATAGGATCGTAGTCCTAAGCACAGAGGAGGTTAAAATAGTTTAGTGCTTTACTTGTACCACTCCATTCATCTACTAATGTTAAGAAAAAGATAATAAAGTCAGTGATTATTAATTAATTATTATATTTTCAAATTATGATACTAAGTTGAAAGATTAAATTGATTTTATTTAATATTTATGTATTTATTATTCTTTGCACTGCGTTATTTGAGATATTTTCGATTCAGACCGTCTTATAAAATAGAATTTTAGCGACGTTCAGATTATTGTGCCTGATTTTGACGTCTAAAATGAAATATACTATAGACTGATATGAAATGTGTTATAGAAAGGAAACGTGCTATTTGTTATATTAAAATCCTTTTACTTCTTTAATATTGTTTAGTAACGCTCATGAAATGAAATGTATAACTACATAAATAATAAAAAGTAAAAAGGTATAGTAAAATCTTTGTACAACGAGTATATTTATTGTGGAACCTTTTTAGGCTCTCAAAACACCATAGACCACATTTTATTAAATAATCACGTGACTTCGTTGAGAAACATCACGGTATGGCGTACTCGCTGTATAGAGAGGTTCTTTCCATTTTTCTCTTGAATTTTTGTGCTTTTTAAAAGTCATTTTCTTATCCTTTTCCGTGGGAAGAATGAGGGTATTGTTAACAATGTATTAACTGACATAATATACAGAAAATGCATGTTTTCGCAGTTTAAATATAACATGAGACATATTTTATTTTCCTAATCATATAACTTAGAATTTATAACTGTTTAAATATTTTTGTCGTAAGAGCAATTAATAACATTATTTCTAATGCAAAATTGTTTATGCTTAGCCTAGCTCAAATTTTTATTTACATTTCTTTATTTCCAGTGAATAAGTTCTAAGACGAAACAGAAATTTTATTAGAATATCATTTTAACAAAGTTGATACCTTCTAATTAAGCTTGAATTGTCTTGTTACCCAAATAAACCAATATGTGTGTGTGTGTGTGTATTTAATTACGGCAAAGCACACTAGGGCTATCTGCCTAAGGGGAGGGATGCCTTTCGTGGAGGACTTTCTAAGGGAAACTGGCTCGTATACACGTTACACATGGGGAAAACCACGAAAACACCCATGCAGCCAGCCCGTTCGCGGGATTCGAACCTCGGACCGAACTACCAGTGTTCAGCGACTTTACCGCTCGGCCGCTGGTGGGCAATAAACCAATATGAAAGCTTACAGTTGTATTCTAGACTGTACGAAATGTTTTTATTTGCTTAAAAGATAATTTAAATATATGCATCTAACCATTTAGAATTGCTGTTAATTGGATGTTCCTTATTGAATTCAACTCTGTCATTTACATGTTTTTAAGGTGTGTAAATATCTAATTATTAGATGTTAGTAATTTCAAACTCTACTTACAATCTTAAAAGTTTCAGCAAGAAATTAAAAATAAGTTAATTCCGAATTATGTGGAAAAGATTAATGTAACATTTTCATGCAAGAAAATTCGCAGTTTTTAACACTACTTAACTTTCTGTATTACTTATAAAAATGCAGTAAAATATGCTATAGCTCTAAGAATTGCTTTGCCATACATAGTAAAAGTAATAGCAGACAATAAATATGTTTTACATTGTATGCAACAAATGCCAATGTTTTTTTTAATGTTTCAGACCTGAATGAATGTGACTCAGAAAATGGCGGCTGTAAGCAAATTTGCCGGAATACAGATGGAAGTTACGAGTGTGCTTGTCACAGTGGTTTTATACTTCATCCAAATAGACATGATTGTTTAGGTACCAAAGATTGCTAAGATCGTGGTATATCAAATTCATTTTATTTCGTTTAGACTAAATATGGCTTTTTAATTCACTGAATGAATTAATATTTCAGACGTTAATGAATGCGCTACAGAAAATGGTGGATGCCAACATATTTGCGAAAACAAACCTGGTAGTTTTCAGTGCTCGTGTCGTGATGGATTTGAATTGCTTCCGAATGAACGTGATTGCAAAGGTAGAGTGAAGACGTTTGTTTACGTTTTCTAATTTCTCATCATTCAGTAACAAATGAAAAAGGGTACTTTTTCGTTAAATCATCCACCGCGTTCAGAGTCAAATTTGCCAGACTTATCACCCAATCTGTAACATAAAAATTCCTAATATTTCAAAAGGCTTAGTCGGTGACTGATTTACCGAAGAACTACATAAAAATATATTAAACAAGAGTTAAACTCGTACATGAATGCACAGATTTCAGTTTAATTATTGCTATTATTATTTTTTGAATTTTCTTAAATGCTAATGTTTTTTTTTTTAAATTAAGAGGATCAATATATAACTCTTGTTTTATTCCGTGATTCAAAAAATTGTTTTGAGATAATTTGTTCTAACCAGTTTCTAATCCTTTTTTACATTTTTACATACACATGTAGTAACCGCCTGTTGGTGTGAGTGTAGAAAATCTAAGAATAAAACTTTCGAAAGAAATAATCTGTTAAACATATTTCAAACGCATGTTTCGAAACGGATGCTAAGCTACTGTACAAAAAAAATAAACAAATAGAATAGAGGATTAAAAATGTATTTACAAATCTCATGCTAATAGTGGGATGGATATTAACAGTATGATGCTATAAGCATATCAAATATGATGCGTATTTGTATTTTTAAAAATCCATTTGCACTTTGAAAGCAAGACAAAAATGTGTTAATTATCAAATATTTCTCTATAATGTTAAATTACAATTTTCATAAATAGTACCTTTTTAGAATTACAGTACTAATATTTAACAATATGCATGAATCTCATATTTTTACACGTGTATATGAAACAAAAATTGCATTAATACATTAAAAATTATTTATTTGAAACTAAAAACCGAAATGGGTGAAATTCAAATAAAATGCATATTACAGAGTAATTTTGTATCTTTATTTAATTGAGCAATTTATCTGAAGAGAACGGAATGCGAATGCACACTTTAAGATCAATGAAATGCATTTGAATGCAATTAAATATATTTCATTTGATCTTAAAATCTAAACTGATCAACAGTTTAAACTTATCTGATTCGTGAAACAAAGTTACTAAAATGTATTATATTTAATTTCGGACAACATTAAGTTATTTAAGGTACATTCACACTATAATTATTAATATAAATATATCTGTATTAGTGCTTCTTTATGCAAAAAAAAGGATATCCATCCTTTATACAAAGGAAAGCGTGTTCACGAAACTCCCTTTAGAAATCTCTAAAATGTATAAATTCGAAAAAAACAAAATCTGATGTATATTCCACATGACTTCCTTGTACGAAATATTAAATTATACGCATTTTTCTTCATTTAAACTTACTGGCTTGAATTTAATCTACTTCGTCGATAGCGCATAAATCACAGTAGAATAAATGCACGCTTTAAAATTAAATTCACTATATTTGCTTACCGTAGCGAGACTCTGGCGCTAGGTTCTCTTAACAACGTTATATTTCACTCATATTATAACTCTTTCTACCTATCTATATACATTTGTAAGAAGTTTTCTACCTTACGGCCTTTACTTCCATAAATCACCAACCCCCTAGGGCCATCTATTAGTTCGTACAATACTCCGGAAGTCAAATTTTCCGAAAAACTTCAGTGAAGATAGTAGTACGCGGGATAAGCAATTTTCTTGGATGAAAAAGCAGTTGTCTTGGAAAAATTAAAAATCCTAAAAAAATTTTTCGATGAAAGAGTACGAATCAGGATCGAACTCTCGACCACGCAAAAACAGGAGTGTGATACCACTCAGCTATCCTCGCTGCGTCAAAATTAGATAAAAGTTCAAGTGCATCTAATGCGACTGCTATTATTTGAATAGCTTATCATTTCAATCGTGCAGCTTTTTGTATTTTTTGTAAAGATTTTTAAGTTTAAATATCATGTTTCTAAAATCGTCGAAGCTTTCAGGAGTATTTGTAACTTTCGTTTCTTCTTTCGGAGCGACTGCGTTCGCGTAGGATTTTTTGTTTGCTGGGAATTTAGGATTTTCTTCTTTTTTGGTATATTCATTATTCAATTCAAGTCTTGGTTTTTCTTTTGGTTTTTCTTCTTCATTTCCAGGTCTTTTGGGGCATTCTATACTGCTGCGGCGTCGGATCCTCCACAGAGAACACAAATAGCAGAGATGTTTAATTTCCCCTTAATCGGTCATTCATTTAATTTCCCCTTAATCGGTCATTCATTTAATTTCCCCTTAATCGGGCATTCATTTAATATCCCCTTAATCGGGCATTCATGGGATCTATGAGTTTCGAGACATGGAACACATCTAGAGGTATTATGGCAGGCTTTTTGTGTGTTCCCGTATCGCTGGCATTTAAAACATTGCACAGGACTGGGCTGAGATCTATATCTGACAATTTTGACACGCATATCCATGATATGTGTAACTTGAATTCTCTTTCCGTCGGGAGCTCTAGGGTGTTTCTACTTAAAATACAGGCAAAAATGTAGGGACTCCACTTCTCAATCTCTGTAACTGATGGCATTTTATTACTTTAATGTTGAGGTTCAAGAGCTCTTGTTTTACGTCTTCGGCAGGCTTTTCAAGGGTCAAGATTTTATAACGGTTTTATGGTTCTTTTCGGATAGTAGGAGAAAAGTGTGGAATCCGATCTTTTCGTTAGTGAATTTTTTTTGAACACTTCGAAAGTCGTCTGCAGTGTAAAACTGAAGTTTTAAAGTGTCATCTTCTTTCTTACATTCGAGTTTTGTAACTCCGAGCTTTTCTTTAATTTCCTTTCTTATTTGTAACCAGTTAACATCGCTATTTATGATAATTGACGGTATTTCTTGTGTTTAAAGCTTTGTGAGTCGGGATTACTTTGAGTGTTGCTATTATTTTGTGTGACAGGAGCACTGTCATCATCCATTTGATCAAGATTTTGATTTCATTTATTGATAAATCTGGATCAAGTGCTAATTGGAACTGATTCCATTGATGATTCGCTATGTTTGATTGATTCGCAAACACAGCACATTATTGCTGGTTAGTTGCGTGAAGCCCAATTTCACTAGCTCAGATGAAGGAGAACGAGGAAACTTCGAAACCGGCGTATTTACAGTCTTTTTTAGCCAACCTCCGTTGCTATAGTTGAAATGGAATTTCGAGTGAAACGGTGAAGGCTCGCCTTCACAATAAGAATACTCTAATTTCTTCGTAAAAAGTTCGAATCAATAATGTTTTAATACATATACGAACTCTGTATCCACTGGAGAACATTGATATAGCTTTGTTGGCAAATATAGTACATAAATTAATTTTAGGATGAAAAATATAAATAAAATTGTATCCTGGTTTATTACTGATATAATTCCCGTTTTATTAAATTGCATTACACTATGTTTATTAAAAATGCTATATGCAGCATGACATAGCTAGTTGAATAATCATACTATGCTTCATTAGAAATCAGTTCATAATATCCACAATTGAATATAAAGTTGACATGATATACAGGTGGTCCCAAAAACATTGATCTCGGCTTTTATTCCTTAAATATGATAGTAGACATATAATGTCATTTACAAAGTTACGTAACAATAAGTGAAAAATTTTATGAAATCAATTAAAATTTTCAAGGATTAGATTTTAAAGAAATACAAAATGTACGCTTTTATGTGGCCCCCGTATAGAAAAATTCTCTATTAACAAACTGTGGCCTATACATTAATAAGGTCACGTATAAAATTTCAACATTTTATCACAAAAAGCCGCAGAGATATGAAATTATGTCAATGCTGAGTTTCCCCCTGAGTTAAACCCTTTTCCTATGTCTGGATATTAGGTTGAAAAGAGGAAAATAAAGCAAGTTCGGTAAGTATAGTTTTGTAAATCTGTAAATAAATTAAAGATAAGAAACATGTTTTATATGCTTATGAACGCCTTTCTGCATCCCACGTCATCTGCAATCTAGCTGTACATTTTAACTTATGATTAATCCCTCACCTACCTTTTTTAAGTTTATCTGTGCAAATTTTTATGATAAAATACTGAAATTTTGTACATGAACTTAGCGGTGTACGGGATACATTTTGCTGAAACTTTTTCTGTATATTACTTCTATGAACTTGAATTTATGAAAGTTAAAATTCCAACTATTTTTTACCAACTTTTCATATTCTAACTAATAGTAAAAACTAAATTGCTTTCACAAAGAAATACATTATTTTATAAGTAAATATTTAGTTCAAATTTTATTATAATACTTAATAACTGTTTTTACTAATTAATAGAAAGACATTTAATCACGTAATTTATATACAAGTTGGATCTAAAATAACTGGTTGAAATAAAAGCGTGCGAAATAAGCAGTTTCTGTAATGCAATGTGTGTGCAAAATGGTACATTCAAGCGGTGGACCACCCTGTTGAGATGGATAAGTGAAAACAGTTCACGGTTTACATAGCCAATCCCCATACGGTTTTCAACGGTATGTATTGATTACATGAATGCGGAATTCGTTGATATGGGCTGGGAATAGAAGCGTAGTAACTACTCAAAGGATCTATAGAGCAGGCAGTCTTCCCGGCAGATTCCCGGGCAGACAGTTTCCAGATTCCCACATGTTTAAGTGTATTGACAGAGAGCTATATTTTGTATCGTAACCAACTTCCAAGGCGTGATATTGATAGAGGAAGATGTCGCAAAACTCTTTCAGTGGAAAAAGCTGTAATCCGTACATTTGAGAATAATCTATTCACAAGCGCGAGAGCTGTTAGTTGTGAAAACACGAGAGAGTTTATTGATTGACGGACATTAAATGGGAAACAAATACATCTGTATCGATATGCTTGTAGAGACATTACAATATTTTGGAAGAAGAAGACATGAAAAACGAGCAATGCCCTCCCCGGGATTCGAACCATGGACCTCTCGAATAAGCGCCGAGCGTGCTGGCCGTTACACCACGAAGGCATGATAAGAAGGAGGGAGAAATACTTTATATAGAATGCAGGCATCAAAACCAGATGATTACCCACTGCGAATTAACTTTTCGTGCTGGTAAACAGGCTGTACAATTCCAGAACTTTCCTTCTTATGTCTTATTCAATGCAATGTCTACATGTTTGAATAAGTTTAATATCCACAATTCTCACACTTGAGAGAACGATAATCCACAAGACGCCTGATCACATGCCTATCAGACAAAATTCTTCATCTGCGTCTGGGTTAAAATTGATCGGCATGTTGAGAAGACTACCTACTCGCTTGAACAGCTGCATGTAGATATGATTCTATAAAATATGTTGCTTAAAATTCGTTCTGATATTCTCCATTTGCTGCATACGAATGTGGTACTAGACAGTTCCTCACTTCAGAAGTGATGTCAGAAATTTCGTCCATTCTCTTTACGGCTCCTCCTAGAGGGCACAGAGAGGACCATTTCTTTGACCGCAAACATCACCAGACATAAAGAGGACAGATTTGTACTTCTGAAGGTATATTAAAGACGTAACACTGAGTTTGAAGATATATACTATAAGTCATTGCTAGAAATATGCATGAAATTCTTAAGATGTTTGCTAATGTACTCTAGTTGCACCGCTGCTATGAAGCTTGTTTGCTTGTGATCGGACTTTCGAGCAACTAGTGTGAAAAGATGAATAAATAAAATTTTTGTTCTGAATTTTACCTGTTTTTCTTTTTTACTTATTGTTCATACAACTTTACGTGCTGGCTTTGCAAATGCCATGCCTGCACCTATTGCTAATTTCGTTTTGCTCCGTATAATTTTGTCAAATATCTGCGAATCATTTTTATAGACACTGATAATTATTATCTCAATAATTATTAATTAAAATCATTACGAATTCGATACATATTATTGTATTCAGCACATATTCAATACTGCAAATATGCAATTGTTCGGCGGTAATAATTTAAATACTTTTAACTGTGACTGCTGAAATATGTTTAACACTGACTTCTAGAAAATATATACTGAAAACATGCGCCCACACACGAAATTAATTTTTAAACATGTGATAAATTTTTACTGGGAATCTGTGGGTTCGGTAAACTCAATTTTCGGAAAAAAAAAAACCGACAAAAATAATTTTAAACTACTCATGAGAAATACTGTCAAAATATTTTCGCAACAATAAGTATAAATATACATTATTTGAAATACATTAAGGTAAAAGCAATTTTTCAGAAGCAAAATTATTTCTTATATTATTTGCAATGTTCACAAAAATTTTTATTTTAATATTTCAGATCTCAATGAATGTGCCTATGATAATGGTGGCTGCCAGCACATTTGTGAGAACGTTGTTGGAAGTTACCTGTGTTCTTGTCACGAAGGATTTTCTCTTCTCCCTAATGAACATGATTGCAAAAAAGGTAGATTCATCTTATGTTTTTTTCTACGCGCTGCTTCAAAGCACATCTCCATTCATGCAGGGGCTTAATCTTGTTTAACGTTCTGCAGATCTAATCTTTGACTGGCGTTCTATCATGCTGTCCAAGAAGACAAATACTCTGCCGCTTAGCTATCGAAAAGTCTACCGAACCGGGGTCACCTACCGGGCTACCGAACCAAAAGTCACTTTCGATATTTTCTCATTTTTGGTTTGGGCTTGAATCCAAGCTTCTTATTTGTGGTTTGGAGATTGGATTTCGTCTTACAAACAACGTCCTTCACAGCACGCAGCAGTTCATTTCCATTTGGAAGAACAAATCATGGTCAGGATGTTTGTTCATCCAAGTTGTTTCATGTGAAATAAAAATATGGAAAGAACGATCTATTTACCAAGCTTGATTAAAAATTTTTCATTTAAATAAATGGACACTGTTCTTAAATAATAAAAATAGGACAAATACTAAATTTTTATAGAACCTTCGTTACGTCTTTTGAAGGCACGAACAGTTACTGACCGACAGTCAACTGAAATTGCAATTTTTTTTTGGTGCGTGCTTCTGTTGCATGTATATAAAACTAAGCTTTTCAATGTTTTGTGTTAAAATGTTTATCACGTTTATATATATATATAAAGAAATATAAATACAGGCTAAAAATTTAAACCCGTCCTGCGCTATAGTTGCAGGATTGCAGCAGAATAAACTTAAATCATCTAAATGTATTATTAAATTGGAGTAAAAGCAAGGCAGTTCTTCTATAATATAATAATTGCAACCGTGTATAAGGAGTTTAACACAATTTCTAAACAAATCCAGTTAAATAAAGAATTCATAGGAGAACCAACTCGAAAAATAAAAATGGGAAAGGGAAAATATTCAAAATTATACAAATAAAATTTAATCTCTTTTCATTGAAACTCTAATTCAGAACTCATCAGGGGAAAATTAATTGAAGCTTCATAAAAGTCGCTGAATATGTTTCGAAAATATATTTCGTTCCCCTGGTCCATTTGAGATCAAAAACCATAAAAAAGTTTCCTCAAATTTTTATTAAAGGCTTTAAAATTCATATAAAACCGAAAACGCCAATCTCATATGAAACAGAAAACTCGAATTCTGGTACATTTGAAAGTAAGATGAAGCACTCTCTCTTCATTTAGTTGTTAATTGGTGATGGATTGGTTTATCCCCTCGATAAGTCGATTAATCTGTGATCAATGTCAATAACTGCTTTTTCAACACTCAAAATGCTTACTTTTGGTTTTGGTATTTTCGCGATTAAAGATTTTCTTAATAGATTTTTATGTTTTTAAGCAAGGAGATATTGAAAATACTATTTAAAATACTACTTAAAATTCTGACTAAAAATCTTTTTCATTCTTGGTTTTAAATTGAATTGGTATTCCTTGGAAATGGTTTAGGGAAAGTTTTATTATTATGAATTATATAACATGTTATGAAAAGAAAAAATTACATCAATGTTGATGGTGTAGCCAAGTTCACTAAGAGGTATTTGGGCTTGCATTAGAAAGGTTTCGTTCTCGACATCTTGAGTTTATGTGAGTACCATAGTACCATGTGACATAAATTAATCTAGAAATGGCGCAGTCCAGAAAAGTTATTACGATTTTTAGAATATAGGGAAAAAATGCACAAACTAAAATTGAGGAATAATGAGGCTATTACTAAATAAAATTATAAAGCTGATTTTCTTAATTTTTATCTTAGCGCCCATGATCATGTGTGACGAAAAATATATTTTCGATTATTAGTTCGTGTAGGAATTATAGTCAATTCGGCTACGTCTGTCTACAAGTCTCTCCTTTGAGTGTTACCTTTTCAACTATACAGTAAAGTCTCTTCGGATTATAATGCTTAGAAACATCATCAATCCGTTGCAGTCATCATATTTCAATGAGTCTGTAGGATTTTATGACGTGCTACTAACCTCAATGGAACATTTATTCACAATTGGATTTTCGGCTTTGGAGGGCTGTCGGAGTGCAATTTGCGTTAGAGGGTTTTTGGAATATTGCCATCTGGCACAAGATAATCCGCTGTAAGAGCTGAATCTACACTGTAATGTCATTAACATGCTGTCTAATCACTACCAAAGAGATCAAAACACACGCAAAAGACGTGGCTCTGGACCCTCCCCCCCCGGAGGATTGCCACAAAGGCAGACGATCGCTATTTGTCACTATATGCAAGACGCTGTAGATCACTAACAGCACGACAACAAGCATCGCAACTTTCAGCTGCTGCAAAACGACTATCCCACCAAACTGTCGCAATAACTGCATGAAAGTGGACCGTATCCTAACGACCTGCGGTTTGTATTCCTTTGTCCCCATAGCAACTCAGAGTGCTTTTGTAATGGGCCTGTGAAGAGCTGGAAACTGGAACGGTGGAGCCACGAGTCTCGATTTAACATTCAGAACAATTCCCGAAGGGTAATGATGTAGCAAGAGCCTGACCACGAGTCACACGCTGTCGGGCGCCACACATCGTCGAAAGAGACCAATTAAAGAGGAAGAGGAATACTTGTATGAACTAGGATAGCAATTAAAGGCCGCACCGACATCTGGGATTTCTGATTGTCCCATAACTGCCGTCCGATATCGTGACGAAATTCTCCAACCTCTTGCGCGTCCTTTTATTGCTGAATTATCTGGAGAGTGAAACCATTCCACATCTGCCGTGGCTTGCTATATCACCGAAGCTGAACTCCATACAGAATATGTGGGACAGATTGAGACGACAAACAGGTCACAGTGTGCCGCCGGGCACCCTTTATGAGCTCCAACATACATTACTATGGCAATAGGCGCTAATGCCACAGCAAGTGATCAATGGCAGTATTGCAAGCTTACGTCGCCAATCACAGAATCACAGACATGCATTTCAGCTAGACGGTATCATATACGGAATTAGCGAAATGTTTCCATTTCATATCGATCCATTTGATCTTTCGTAATGCGATGGTCTTAGTACATGCGTTTTTGTACATCTTTGCTTTATTGCTTGCTACGTGTCCTCATAATGCCACACCAGCCTCCTGGATTAGTTTAATGCATAGCCATTAAGTAGTTTTCTTTCATTATTTTTTTGCCTTGCCTATTTTTTGAGGAGTATACTTGCTAGTTTCAAAAGTGGTCTTGTCAACGAAGCGCTGGTCATGAAATTGTTTACTGTTTTTCATTTAAACCATTACCTGACGAGCCTTGAAGCTATACATTGATATATTTCGGGAAGTTTGTCTTCAGCGAATGCAGTTTAGAATGCATCAAGTGAAAACTGAAATTCAAAAATAGAATTGCATACTTTGGCAGAAAATGAAGTTTTGCCAGAAAAACTTATGACTTAACTAGCCACAAGAAAGGTAATGTTTTGAGAAATTAGGGGAAGTGTAATAATTATAAATTTTAATGTTTTTCATTCCGAGTTTTCTGTATACGATACTAGTTTTTTCTAGAAATATTCAGCACATTACGTCGGAAAAGCCTATTAGTATTATTATACAATTTATATTATGTAGTAGTTTCTCATAATGAAACCGTAATTCCTCCAGCTCAAAGCAGGGACTATATCAGCCTTAAAAATTCCAGGATACCTTTATTCTTTATTCTAGGCGAACTAAATAGCGATTTAACAGCTACAGTGCTCATAATAATTTAGAAGGAGAGTTCATAGACTATATTCTAATATCTTTTTTCTTGCAGAAACTTGTGTGCATCATATGACGTCCACTGAGGGAGTTGTATCAAGTCCGAATTACATAAACTATTATCCGAGGAGGACGGCATGTGCTTGGAAGTTTGAAACTGCTCCAGGACACAGAATTAAGCTGGTAGATGACATTTTTAGTTTAAGGAAAATAATATATTTAATATTTAAAGAAACTAATACGTACCATTGCATGTAGAAATACATGCTGCTAACTAGATAGTGAAAATTAGTTAAGAAGGTTTTTTAATGTTTAAAAAACAAGACAAAACTAGTAAATTATAAAGCTGACTCTAAAACTTTATTTCTAAATTTTGACAACTTTCTAGTTCGATGGGACGAATTTTAAAAGTAATTTGGATCTTCCATTAAAATAAATTTTACCTTTAAACGAAAGAGTACATAATTACATTTATATATTTGTAAAATGAATCCTCGATTAAGTGGTCTTTATGGAATCAGATGCATATAATTTACTGGTTAATCCAGAAAAGCTAAAAAAATATTGACAATATGAATATACACATAAAATAATGGAAAATGTTATGAATATTTACTAGCACGAAATATTGCGGCGCGTAGCATTCACATTAACAAATCACTAAGTCTCATTTTTACTTCCTTGTACGAAATAAATATAAAGTATTGTAATCGCGAAAAATTTCGGATGTCTTATTTCAACGAAAATATGCATTTTGACCGCTATCAAATGCAATTTATCGATGTTTTTGCGTGACAGCTGTACGTAAGGACAGACTAAAGGACACTTTTCCCCCCAAAAATTATAAACCTAATTTAAAATGACTTCTGAAGAGATTTTTTTCGTAGCGTCTGTACATATGTACGTACTTATCTCCCATAACTCGAAAACGAGTAGCCTCAGAACGTCGCAATTTTGTATATACGACTGCTATTACATGTAGATGTGCATCTCCTATTTTGGTTGCAATCGGCCGCAGCAAAACTATATATATATATCGACTCTGTTACTCGGCTCAGTGAGCTCTCTGAGTTCACTCTGAGTTATAAAAAGAAGGAGATGTAATGCTGTTAAGTGAACCTAGCATGGAAGTGTCGCTATGGTAAATAAATATAGTGAACTTTAAAGAGTGCATTAATTCTATTGTGGTTTATGCGCTATGCGAAGTAGATTGAATTCAAAATTCGTTAACTGTTAATTCAATAAGTTTAAATGAAATCCATGAAAAATGCATATAATTTAATATTCCGTGCAAGGAAGTCATGTGATGCACACATCAGATTTTTTTATTTAAGTTTTTGATTTGAAGGAACCTCGAGCTAGTTCTTTATCAATGGTAGTACCAATCACAGATGAATTGTTCTGCATTCATAGTAATTTTCACGTTCAAATAAAATCAAAGGAACATTACATATATATATTCATAAATGTAGTATCATTAACTTCATTTCTTTGTTTCTTTGTAATGCATCTTCATAACAACAGTTTTATTCTACCAGTTATATTTGGAATTATTTCACTCAATTCTTATTGGAATTTCGCTCATCAGTGGGCGGATGGTCAAGGTCTCTGAGCAATGGTAGTTCAGCCCGCCTTCATATTGCAACGATGGGGTGGTTGAGAAGCTTTGTATATAGGTTTTCTCATATAAAATATAAATATGAGCTAATTTATCTCAAAACATCCTTAACTAAAATCTTCTATTACAGATAATTTGAATGTTCTTTGATATATTTAAGTAACCTAGCATAATCTACCTTTAATGAAATTTTCATCTTCTCCGCCAATCATTACCAGTTTCATCAATTTCATAAATTCAGCGTAACATTTTAAGAATTTCGGTGAATTATATTATAAATGTTTTATTTCACAAAATTTTCCGTATCCGGTTCCAGTGCTTTTAGCTGTATTTCTATAGTTTTAAAATATTGTATGATTTTGTTCATTCAAATAAACGTATTTTTAATTATAAACCTATTCTGAAGTAAATAAAACGTAAATTTTAAAAAGTTGCATGTGCACTATCTAGCAAGCACACATACGACAATGACTAACTGAAGCATAAGCTTGTGAAATTTCAAAACTGTGATCATAGGTACTCATTTAAATTTGGTTTACTTTTTTTAAAAAAATGCATTATGCTTTCCTAGTAAGCTGTATATAATTACAGCCTAATTACTTTCTCCTAATCTTCCTACACTAATAGGCAACTTCTTGTCCAATCTTAAATTCAGAAAATAATAACGTAATGTAATTATAGCAAGCGTTTAAATTATTGCAATATTTATTCACATTCTGGCTTGAAATTACATAAATTTAAACGTTACATAATAAAAAATTGACATCCGACTCTTGCGACTTTAGAATGCAATATAGTTCGTACAACTATTAAAGACTTACAAAATATTGAAGACTAAAACTGGCTTCTATATTATTAAGACGTTTTCTGTGCAATTATAGCATTTGAATTGTAGAATAAAAGTTGCAGCGATTTGGGTAATTTTTTAATGCTTTCTTGTGGACGAAAAGTGCAGGAAAGATTTAAGAAATGTAATATTTCAACTAAAATATACATTATAACTACCTTGCGTATTATGTTGAAATTGAAAATAGAGATTTGATTCCCCGAATGAAAACGAACGAATTTTAGCGAAGAAGTGAAAAAGAAATCTATTATATATTGAAAAAGAACTTTTATTTTATTTCTTTATTAGTTTACCTTAGATTTCGTATTAAGAGTTTTTTACTTTTACCTTCAATTCAGCGTAACATCTCCTTCGATGTAAAACTAAAATTAAAGGTTTATAGTAATGTTATTCGATAGGCAGATACTAAATCATAACGATCTTTAAAGGCACTTGAACTTCTTAAAATATTACGACTATGTTTAACAAATACCTTTAAGCTCAAAACTTAATGCCTTACGAATTTATATAGTAAAAATGACATGAGTTTATATAGTAAAACAATAAACTTATATAGTAAAAATGAATTCAATTTTTTGTAGGTTTTTGAAATTTTTGAAGTAGAAGCAGATGAAGATTGCGTGATGCTTTACATTGGAAATTCCTCAAATTCACCACTGATGGACAGGTTCTGTGGAAACAGCGAACCTTATGAATTCATATCGCCTTCCCATACACTGTTCATGTCATTCCAGTCGCCTGCAGCTACATGGAAGACTCGTTTCCAGGCCACATACTCGTCTGGTATCTCGACTGAATGTATTCTTATTAATAAGGAATAATAAATGCTTTTTATTTATTATTCCTTGTAAAATAAGGAACAATAATTTTTTTCAGTTATTATACAAATTCTGAAAATTTATTTTACATAAAAATTTCAGTAGCAACGCAATCTTTAATTGTAAAATAATTCGTTCATGGAATTTATTAGGATAATACCCTGTAGTCCATTGTTATTATTTTTCATTAACCAGTTATTTTATATTTTGGGTCTTTAAAGCGAACTTCTCGTTTCCGTTTCCTTACCAGAATTTAAGTAAGGGATAAACAGTTAAAATTTTAACTCTTTTACGACCAATCCGCCCCATACGGCCCTACATTGAGACAACCAGAACCGCCCGAAAACGGCCGAGATTGCAACAATCCTCTTAAGTTATGCAGTAGCAGGTGCAGTCTCCCCAAATGCAATGTATCAGTTTACTGTATACCGCTCGTCCTAAGAAATTTCTTATCTTCTGGTTGCTCGTGACATTTCGTTGTTGATTCGTTTTTGGTACAGCGTGCTTTTAAGCTTTAAACAACAATAAAAGTGCAGTTTAGAAATTTAAAGATTATATTTATTTTTAATCAATTTATTCCTTCATATAAAAATAGTAGAAGTAAACAAAATCTCAGTCTTGATCATAACAAAGCCGGAAAGGCTTTTTGGTCTGACCTTCAGAATAGGTTTATAAAGGACGGGGTGAAAGGCTAATGGAATCTTTTTTAGAAAGTACAAAGGATGTCATTTGAAATCTTCACACCTATTTTCTGAGTTAATGGACGGGGAAGGGAGGAAATTTCTGTGAAGTTCGGTTTGGTAGTTTGAGGATACAGATTAGTGAAGGGTCTGGATTTCAAAGAGTTAAGAAGGATTTGGGGAGTTTAATTTAGGTAAACCGTGCAAATAATGTAAGCTATCTAGGGGTTATCATTAACTGTAGGCTCACATGATTTGCCACATTAAGCATCTCATAAGAAAGACCTGTGATATCTCTAAATCAATTTTCTTTACTCTTCGGAAACTACTCTGGACTGTTTCAACAAAAACAGAAGGATATATCTACGTATTATAAAGGGAATTCTATGTTATGCATTTGCAGCCTGGGCGATAGCCTCAAAGGCAGACTTCCACATATAAGGTATTTCTCCCGCCTTCTTGGTATGCCTTCGTGTTGTGGTGGTCTGCATGCTGGGCGCGTATTCCAGAGGTCCGCGGTTCGATTCCCGGAGAAGGCGTTTGCTAATTTTTCATCTTGCCTGCTTCCAAAAAGATACCTAATGTTCTACACACTAACTTCAAGGTGGCACATAATAAGATACTGGGAAAATTTGTAAATGCACATTACCCGATCAGAAACAGACTGACCAACGACGATTTGAAAGTCAACTTTATAGTAGCCCAGATTACTAAACGTAATAAGCATTTCTTAAAAACTGGACTTAGCTGGGATGCTGGAAATGTTTCAGAAGTTCTTAGTTACCAAAACTCTCCAGAAGATAATTTGATCAGACCATTTGCTACTTTTGGCTGCCTACGTTTACTTGTTTTCTAGCGCGGTGGGACATTATCTCTCGTCGCTTTCCATTAGATTGGCACACATGCAGTAAAGGAGACAATGGTCTCTTCACGTTGTACCGTTTCTGAAGTTACATCTGCTGCTCGTTAAATTTATATGACCTCAGTGACTTAACTCTCTTATATAGCTTATTAAGGATCCTTCTGAGATCACATAAGCAACTCCATAATCAATATCAGTTTAATTCAGAGCGTATTCTGCCTCTAGAGTCCACGTTACTAGGTTCCTACTAGCTCAAATAAAATTTGCTGTGTTCGGCCCTGCATTGTAGTTGCCGATATTTAATCTATTCCGGTTAGGTTTGTGAGCCAACTTCACGTTAAACTGAATTATTATTAAGACACATTATCTTTGACTGTCTTTGGAGTATTATCTTTGAATTTGAATTATTATTATCTTTGACTATCAGCTTATTTTAAACTTGAACTTAATGTTATTTAAGTTTCATCATCACAAGTGATTGGCGGAATTGTAATAAAAATGGTTACCTAAACCTTCTTTACACTCTGTCGTTAACGTTCAGACTATCATTCTGTCTAAAGTTTAGTTACAATTTATGGTGTAAACTTCTGAAGTATAATAACGTTATTAAGAAATGATTGTCGTTTACTGTCATTGACAACATAGTAGTTACGTACAAAAAATGTAAGTAAACATAACATAAGCTATGTCTGATCCTTTCGCATATTAACAGTCTAGGCCAGGGTCGGCAAACTCATTAGTCAATAGAGACAATTATCAACAGTTCAACTATTGAAATCTCTCTTTTTTTTTCAATGGCGGGCCTATAATGGCATTGACCACTACTAAGGACAGAAGTGGCGACCATTTTAATGTGGAGGCACCTAATAAGCGGCCACCGGTACCTCCTATGAAGGAACAGAAAATAGTACATCCATGCCTTCTCCGGGATTCGGTTCTCAACAGTACAACTTTTTTCACTCCACAACACTCACTAAAATTAACTTCATATTTCAATTTTTTAGTTAATCTATACAGATATGTAGAATAAAACGTGGTATTACACTAAAGAACGGTGCTACTTATTGATAAAAATTTGTAAGTTGTCCCAAAACGTAAATCATGATAATGATGAACAAACAGTAATACGAAAAATGGCCTTGCATCTCCTTGCAAAGGTACAGTAAATCAGGTTTGTATGTTGTTGTTTTTAATTTTAAGCATGATTTAAGTTAATAAGTTAGAAGTCAATAAGACGACTTCTCAATTTAGTCTTGATAAGGTTTATGCTTGAAAGTGAGTATTCGCATGAATATGAAGACCCTGATAAGGAAAGAAAGCAAACGCTAGTTTTTTTCAGCTGGTTATATGAGTCAGGACATTCTATGTGTTCAAATCAACATATCTTTCTTCTCCACGTCTTTCAAAACAGACCACTTGTGCTGTGAAAAACCACGCTTACATTTTATTCCCTCCAATGTTTCTGTATCAGAGCTAAGACTTCAAATTCCGAGTTCCATAATTCTTTGATTTTTAAATCCAGCAACTGGATTTCAGAGTTGCCAAAGCTGGATTCAAAGCTGGATTTCAAAGGGAATAAATATTAAATTAATAAGTCAATATTAAAGGGAGTAAAATTTAATTCTCCTACAGTCCTTTTAAGAGGATTTTTAACAAAAGCTGACTTTTGAATTCCTGAAACCTGTTAGGAAAAACTCCTCCCATATTTAAAACTGTTGTTTTGAAATAGTGAATGTCAGTATCATTAGAATGTCAGTATCATATCAATGTCAGAATTATTTTCTTGGCGATGTTTCAACAGGCTTGGAAAGTGTATAAAAGTTTCTCTTTCGAAATATTGAAAAAAAAAAAAAAACATAATTTGTTTTCAAATTAAATAACTTCTTCTAGGAGCGAAAAAATTGTGTTTCCTCTCCCTGTAGTTTTTGATTAAACTGATTTAGATGAAAAGTAACGTCTGCTATGAAATAAAATTTTTGGATTAACTGATGGTTCGTTAGTTCTGGATAATAAACTCCCTTTCCAAGGAGAAATGCTTTAATTTCTGTTAATGAGGACGTGAAATGTTTCTAAACATTTCTTCTTGATACCCAACATACTTTGTTATGCGGCAGAAATTGTGCTGTTGCAGTAATTGTCATACGTCAAATTTTAACGCACTCTCCATTTGTTTGTATACGCACTCTCCATTTGTTTGTATACGCACTCTCCATTTGAACTAAAATTCTTTAAACGGCGATGATTAAGGGCTTTAGCTATAATGAAGTTGATAAACCTCGTCACTAATTCTATAACTTTGCACATTTCACCTGAAAATCCTGGAAATTCTGAAAAATTTCCTCTGCTCTTTGATGAATGATACACTGGTAAGTAAATATCTCGTGATTCAGTGCAATGACCCATTTATCAATACATCAACAAAAATCTTATTACAATCTGTACAATAGCAATTTTAACTTGATATACCAAGTAATGCAAAATTAAACTTTCATGTCAAAATATCTGGGCTTTTAGTGTTTAAAAATTTACAGTTTGAAGTGTTTTCATATTTTATGCAGCCCAAATATAGTCTATGTATTTTATCTTACCTAAATTCAGTTGCTAGGAAAAGTTTTGTTTCACAAACTGGAAAAACTTCAAATTGTAAAGGTCTAAGAAGATAAAATCCTGATATTTTGAAACTAAACTTCATTTTTACGTTATCATTGAAGTTAAAATTGCCATTGAATGGTATATTAATTCAAAGCATTTCATTAGTTAAAATTTCACGTATGACAATTACTGCAACAGCATAATTTGATACATAATCAGTACAATCAAAACACCGAAATCGGTATAAAATAATTCCTAAGAATAACATTGTCGGATATGTTTTCAGTTGTTTTCATGCTTCTATAAAATTTGACGGCCTCTGTGCTGTATTTTCAAGAATTTCTTGCTTTTCCATGCGCGCGGTCGCATATGCTATTTTGTGTAAGAGCCAAAGAGCCACATTTGGATCGCGAGCCACGTTTTCCCGACCACTGGTCTAGGGTATGGTTAATAGGTAAATTTAAACAATTCAGCTTTATTCTTTTCCTACTTTTTCTAAAGTATCTTTTCATCAGTCTATATCGGAAGTCCTTCAATTAACACAATTAATTCAATTAACACACATGGGGAATAAAACTCCAGCGTAATATTACAGCTCTGTAAGAATATTCTTTGTATGCGCTAATTTAAGTATAAGTGTTCATTTTCTAGCATTTTTCTGAATTGTAACTAGAAACTGTTTTCCTGTATGCTGTAATCTTTTTATTTCCAATGGCGGGCTCTAGCCATTTAAAGGCGTTGGCCACTGCTAAAGACGGAAGGTGTAGTGTATCTTTGTTATGAAGGCACCTAATAGCGGGGATTGTTTTTTTTTGTTCCCCCCCCCTACAAATCGCGGACACTTGCCTATAACGGCGTTGGCCACTCCTAAGGCCAGAAACGGTGACTATTTTATTATGGATGCACCTAATAGGCGGCCACCGTTACCTCCTATGAAGGGACAGACAGTTTTACACCCATACCTTCTCCGAGATTCGAACCCGGGTCCTTTGGTATCGCAGTCAGGCTCCCCTAATTACATTACCGTCTGGGCGGCGGGGGGCATTGTAGCCTCCTATGAAGGGGCGATGTTTCGTTTTGGTTTGGTTTATGTGATTACGACAAAGCCTCAAGGGATATCTGCCTAAAGGAAGGAAGGTCTTCGTTGAGGACTTTCTAAAGGCCACTTACACATGGGGAAAAACACGAAAACGCCCATGCAGCCAGCCCATTTACGGGATTGAACCTTGGACTGAATTAACTGTTTTCAGCGACTTTACCGTTCAGTCACTTGTAGACGCACTGTGAAGGAAGGAACAAATCATATTCATACCAGTCACAGTCACTAACCACTTTCCCGTCTGGAAGTCTTCATCCGCTGTAATGCAAAAGTATTTATTCAAGTAGAGTTCCTTTTCCTATGCAAACAAAGCATTTTTTTTTTTTTTTTTTTTAATATCCTCTCCAAATTGTATGGCCAGACAGAAAGGTACATTATTATAGATACGAAAAAATATTTATATTATACTTTCTGCAAATATTCATATTGTAGTTATTTTTATGACGATGAATGAAAAACACGGTCACTTTTCTTACATTGGAATTGAATTTCGATTAATAAATGAATCATTGAGAAATGCATTCTAAACAGTAAAATATGCTGTATTACAAAAGTTTTGCGTTTAGATTTTGCGATAATTTGACTTTTCATAAGGACTGTAATGCATTATTGCAATAGGCATTCTGTAGTGGTGTATGTGGTTAGCACATAACCTAGCAAACAAAATATTCCATGAATATGAGGAAGACGTAATAGATTTTTAATTTTCCTATTCCAAAACATTTAGTACTCTTAACAAAATTATTCGCCACTGCAAAATGCGATACAGCTTTATTTATTAAAAAGGCAGAATTTAGATAACTTCGAGATTAAAAAAAAAACATGAACCACTTCAAATTTGAATACACTAACTGTGATTATTGCTTATAATGAATTATTGTAAGTAAAAATCACAGTTAGTTAACTTAAAAGTTTGAAAGATGTAATAAATAATCCATAAAAATTTAACAATTGACATTTCATTAACTAAGGCAAAATAACTTGGATTTGAGTAAATGGGGATTTGTACTTAATCAGAAGAAAAACTGAAAAGCTTTTAAACTTGTGCAAATTTTAGGTGGAAAATGACAAGACATGACAATATGTGTAATCATTAAAATGCAAATATATCCAATTTTCATTTGACATCTAGTTTTTATAATAACCTGGGTCCCAAGGGGAAAGATATCGAAATAGTTTCTTTTAAAATTAAAAAAAAAAATTCTTAATGGGACTTTATTTTTTTTTTTTTTCTTTTAGTGTGCGGAGGGCATCTGGCTGCTGGGGAAGATCCATCATTTCTTTATTCCCATGTTAAATACGGAGAGCAAAATTACGGCAACCATGTAGTCTGCAACTGGCTTATTACATCATCTAAAATCAGAAGGGTCTGGATTACATTTAAGACCTTCGATTTGGAGCAAGATGGGGACTGCGAAAAAGACTACATTGATATATTCGATGGATTCACTGAAACCAGTTCGAAACTTGCGACGTTCTGCGGCTCTGAGGTAAAGTTGGTTCTGTGGTAGTTTAATATTGTTCCGTAACAGCTGATGTACAATAGTCGTAACAGTTGATGTAAAAAAGTCGTAAAAATTGATGTACACTGCGCAGGAAAAAAAAAATGGAGCAATTTTATATCTCCCATTCTACTGGGCCGATTGACGAAATTCAATTTGCATTTTTTATGTCTCGAAATCGCGATTTAGGATATGTATTAGATTTATATATAGCACTGTTCTAATATAGGTATTCTGACATAAACTCGGATTTTTTCCGAAATAACATACCAAGTTTTTTTTCCATATTTCGATTCTACGACTCAAATTACGACAAACTACCAAGTTTTGTAAAAATCGTACGAATAGGTTTAAAAAATTTAGCTCTCAAAATTTTAGCTCCTCAATATTAATTGAGTTTGGTATATATTTATTATCTCTCTTTTTTTATTAAACTTATTTGATTCTTCCTTTCACATTTCGAAATTCATGTTCAGTCCAAATAAAATTCACCCATTTTTTTATGATTTATTTTTAAAGTTTGTATTTTTAAATAATTTTTATAAATTTTTCAAGAAAATGTTTGGATTAAAATCTATAAAATTTTTACCGTCATCTTGAAGTACGCCTACTTTTAAGCGTACCTGCAAAGAATTACAGGTTTTTATTCAAAGTTTCCGAAGATATACGTGAATTTATATATTGGCGCGTTTTGAAATTTGGCATATTTGTTGAAAGCGATAAAACATCAAATGTGAATTACACTTTGCTAAAATTATTGGAAGTAGAAAACGATGTAACTTTTTTACCGCTCACCGCTCATGCAACAACGTAAAACGTTAGGAACGAGGTGCCTTTTTTCCCGCTCCAGCAATGGAAGGGAAAGGAAAACTGATTACCACATATTAAGAGGTTCGCCAAGTAAATTATTCTTGCCGCTAACTGAAAAAACTTGTGTCAAGATAAATGTTTGAATTTCTCCGTAAATTTCGCACCAAATTTTACAAAATTTTAAGATCTAGGCATAATTTGAGTCGTAGAATCGAAATATGGAAAACAATTGGTATGTTATTTCAGAAAAAGTCCGATTTTGTGTCAAAATATCTATGTTAGAACAATGCTATACATAAATCTAATGTATATCATAAGTCTTTTTAGACATGAAAAACGCAATTTGAATTTTATCAATCGGCCCAATAGAACAGGATATATAACTATAACGGGAAATATAGAAATAGCCTTTTTTTTTCGCAGTGTACATCAACACTGTCTTGATCAATAACGGAAAAGTGTCCTTTTGGTATAAGCGGTGAGGTTATCACCTTCAACCAAAGCTATACGTAATTTATCTCTGTAGAAAGCATTGATAAGCCTATTTTTGTACGAAATTTAAATTAACAATCATACGCTCATCTAGAATCTTAATTGTTTAACAATGAACAAGTTGCGCAATCCCTACATAATACATCGCAAAATAATTAAATTTTGCCTTCATTCAGAAACATACTGTTAAGCGGTCGCTGTAAGATAGGAAGTCGTTTATCACATATATGTTTGTATCAGAACTATTTGTCACTCCAGTTATTGTACATTAGGTAGAAAATATAGCGGTTAAATATTATATAGCGGGTAAATATTATATAGCGGTTAAATAATGCACAGGGGATATGTATCAGACCTGGACATAGGTATTGTCAGCGAAAGCGAAATGGGAGTTAAACTTTTATAGTATAGCTTGGTTTAAAAAAACGCTATGAAGCGATTGTGAAGACCTGTAAATACTTGTATTCTGAGTGATTAATTCCGCCAACATATTGATGTGCAGTGGCGATGTCAGAATTGTGTGTAGAAATTATTTTGAGCTCTTCGTAAAATCGCTGTCATCAGTCTAAGATACTGTTTTGAAATGTGTCGAATTTCGTATAGAGGACGTTTAAATTGTAGCTTAGGTTGGAATTCGGTACATCAAGACTCTCCTGATGAATAATCGAGAAATTGTTCTTTTGATATAAAGGATGATGTTCGAGCGTCATCCAGCAAGTCCGTAAACGGACATAAAAGTTGTGCTTGGCTTTTTCAAAACACGTTTCGTGACTATAAGTTCTTAATCAATGTTGGCACCTAAATATTTTGTAGTGAGTACTGCTGGGAACACTGCTTTTATATAACACAAGTATTTGTTTTTCATTTTCCTATGCTAACTGAATATAAGAATATGCCTTTTTTACCGGTTTAATTTTCAACTCTGAAGTTTTAATCAGCGGAGGTATTGTTAACCACAAAATGCACTGTTTTCTGTGGCACATTAGATATTACATATCCATGAAAGAACTGCCGTGTCTTGGATATATTTAGTAACTTTAAAGCCTAGTAGCTCTAGTATGTTGCTGAAGAAAAAATTCAATATCACTGGACCAAAACAGATCCCTGGGGATTCCTGCTTTGAATCGTTTCTTGGCTAATAAGATGGCATCAATTCTGACTTGAACATTTTTATCTTTTAAATATAAATTTAGAATTATAATGAAGTTGATGAGAAGCTGGAATTCATTCATTTTAACTATAAAGCCTTGATTTCAAACGGGGTCAAATGCTTGCTTGAATCCAAGAAAACATGCGACGAGTGAAATTTTTGAAAAAGGTTTCTGCAACTGTTTCGAAATTCAAGATTTTGATAAGCAATATTGTGACTTTTTCGAAGTGTTAAGCTAATTATGTTACTATTCTCGAGATATTTAACTAGTAAAGATTGTAAATAGCGTTCGAAGTGCTCGTCTAGACACTCAGAAGACTGATTAATCAATGTATTTTTATCGACCTAGGAGTTTTCCCCCTAACTTTAAGAACGTTATGATAATTGCGTATATCCACTACTGTAGAAAATACTGAAGCATTAAACGCGCGCTCATTATATTCGCATAAAGATGATATATTTGCGTAAATATGCTTTGAAGAATCCTTCTGCTTTAAATTTGATCTAAGTTTATTAATAATCAGTTTTTTAATTCATTTTCTTAGTTACCATGGAATGGTAATGGTAAGGCTGGGGAGGCGTAAGGGCTGACTAAGATGATAAATGCATATAAGGAAGCATTAAAAATAAAAAATAGAACTTTTTGCATTAAATATATGTAAATGGCATCGATTACAGATATGGAGTAGAAAGAGCAGCAGTAAAAGAATTTTGGTTAGTAAGATGTGCTGTTAGATACTTCGAATATATGAATGAAAGAAATTGTAGAAGTATTTAATTTTTTAATAGAGGACTTACTATGTTATAAAACGTTTGCTAGTTAAAAAATTGAGCATTTTTTAGTCATGACAAATAATTAAAATTTTAAACATATAAATTATAACGAACGCTTAATTCCTAGCATACTTCAAATTCTAAAAAGATATGCATATTCCTTAACAATGAAATTAAAATTTCAAAACAGGAAGGTCATAGATATTTGAAGTTTACGGGATCGCTACTCATGCTCGTGAAAATCGTTACCAGGCTAATCACATGCAAATAGTCACACATTAGGGAAAAAATATTCGTATAACAAATTAAAAATGTTAATTTATTCTATATGGAATATAACTGCCGTGAGCAGAAATGCATGCATTCCTACGTTTTAGTACGCTATTAAAGATTGTTTTGCTTTGTAAGGTTTGTGGGCTCGAAGTATCTGGGCCGGTAAACCATAGTGACTGTCAGCTGGCTCATACGCTTGCAATAACCAACCAATAATGTCCCAGATAGAAGACAAGATCAGTCATGCAGTAAGCCAAGATTGTAAAAGCAACATGCAACTTTGCTTTTTCGTGTCGAATCACACCTCCTGGTTCAAACTGTGAGAGTTGCCAAAGTAACAATCAGCTATTAATATACTAGGAGCGCTATTAATAGACTGTACCTTATGACAGAGCACATTAATATTTGTAATTGATAAGACTTCTACTTTTTTCAGTGTGAGAATAAATAATAAGTGAGAATATCGTATTTATAAATATTAAATTAATTAATTTTCATAAAATGTGTATACGCTGCTATAAATTTCAGCTTTTACAGCTTCCGAAGAAGCTAGATTCAATAAAACTAAATTTTCCTTTCAGATTCCCCCGGATATACATTCCACTGGAGATGGTATCTTAATCCGTTTCCACTCTAACTATGCTATTACTGGACGAGGATTTGCTTTGACTTACGAAGAGATCTTTGACTGATTACCTTCAATGAAAATTTCTTCTGGAAAAACATGCATATAAATGTCCCATACTCTGCCATATATTCGGAACTACAGGGATGCAGAATTACCAAATTTACCGAATTCTCTGCCTATAAGTCTATAATATCGAAATAAAATTTTTTACCGTTATAAACCGTGCTAACGAATGAAACCAGATGTATATTATAATAGTGCAAATATATTTATTGAATGGATATTTATCAAAAAATAAATTTATTTCTAACTTAATTAAATTTTTTAAAGTTTTTGTTTCAAAATCATCCTTGTTACTCTTTTCAAAATTCGAATAAGATCGAACAGGTATAGCTCCCAAACACTAACCGACTACATCAAATTATAAAAAGCTATTAACAATTAAATGGAAATGCATAAGTTATTATTAAGAGAGATGTATTGATTCAGAACAGAACAAAAAGGGAGAATATTCGATACCAAGCGCAGCGGATGGACATCCACAATACATACATCCCCAATCCCCAGGACTGCTGCCTCTTCTAGTGAAGACCAGGCTTCTCATTCATATCACAAGCATTTATCAAGTCTGTAGATAAAAATACATAATTATATAAATGCAACATACGTAAATAAAAATAAACATGAAATACATAAGTACATAAGATGTACTTATGTATTTGTACATATGATGCATAAGTACGTAAGATGTACTTATGTATTTCATGTTTATTCTTATTTGCGTATGTTGCATTTATATAATTTGACAATATCTAACAACAACTTTAGCTCAAACACTGCTCATGATTGTTCCTGTCAGTATATCTTAAAGTATCTTACCATATTAGAACGAGAAATTTGCGGCCTTCATTCAGTACAAACTGGGACTAAATTCGTCGAGCTTTACCATGGAATGGTAATAGTAAGACTGGGGAAAGATAAGGGCTTCCAGCCTTACCATTGCCATTCTTCTAGCCTTACCTTCCATAGCCAGGCTGAGAAAAGGTAAGGGCTATATTAAGATGATATATGGTGATATATGATAGCACCAAGGTTAGCTTTCATTCCGCTAGGCGTGAACTACTTAACATATCTAGTTTAGAAACTGGCTTTCGAGTGATCTTAATTTGCATAACTATTTGGTCTGAGGGAATATACATAACGCGAGCTAAAACGAAGACCGAACGGTGATTAAACTAAACTAAAATATTAGTAAAACTTAATCTTGTCAAAAGGTTCTCTAATATGAGAATAAAATCTCGTAAACGGAACACAGATACAGGTGCGCTGTTTGTAATGATTAATTTTTTATTTTAATAAAAGCTCTTCATATTTATTTAATAAACCCCGGTGCACATCTGAAATAATTAAAAAGTTTAAAAGAAATTATTGCTGATTCAATGCATTAAAATTTGAAATAATTATTTTCTGTTTTCTTAATTTACAACTCGGTAACCAACTAGTGGTAGTCAAAAGTAAAATTGATAAAAATGAAAATAAATCAGGCATAAATTTACGACTAAATGTTTAGACATCAAGTTTAAAATTATTCGGTTTCAACCAATACTTATCACACCGTCAAAACTCAGATAAAATCTCGATTCTCATAAAAAGAATCAAACGATATATCTTGAGTACTGACTTTGCGCTTGTTTATCTGAACTCTGACCAGTATCGATGGGCTTAAGATAGCGTTTGTTTTATAAGCCACCCTTTTATCTCCTTATCAAGACGTCATTACGTCATCAGATGAAACAATGAATTGAATCCTACGATGATTCTCGCAAAACTCCGATTGCAGATGAATTGCTCACGTTATCCAAAGAGTTTATATGATGATACATTTAATTTTTCTATTAAGTGATTGCTAAAAATAATTCTGGGAAACTTCATTGTCCAAAATATTTGTAGACTAAACTAACCTTACTTCTCCATTGACAGCACGTCAATGAGGTGGTTTATATTATGAATTTATTATTTCATTATTTATTTTTACAAACACTAATTCTTCTAATTTTCATTCGTGCATTTAATAAATTTACCTTTGTACTGATATCGCATTACTTTCATGCCTCCTGCACGTAAGCCGAAATTAAATATATGTAATGAAAAAGACTTGGCAATACTGGTAGCGTAAACTGTTGATCCATACTGATAAGCAAATTTCGCAGCCAAGAGAGATTAATGGTTTTGTATTATTTGTAATTATTTGATTATGGCAAAGCACACGAGGGCTATCTGCCTAAGAGGAGGGATGCCTTCGTGGACAACTTTCTAAGGGAAACTGAAGCGTTAACATTCCAAGGGAGATTAAATGTTCATCTTTCTTTTAGCTGCAATTTGCGGCCACAATTCACTTGGCACTTTAATCATGCTTATTCAGGAAAATTCCTATTTTTGATAGTATTACGATAAGAAGAAAAGCGTCTTAACGGCAACAGCGCTAGAAGCAAAAGTGCGCAGTTAATCCAAATTGCCAGCTTACCAAGCGAATGTTTTCAGTTCCGAGTTAGCTACGTCATCAACGTAATGCAAGTCATATGATATGGATTGATCTAGAAATGAGGCGGTGCAGAAATTGTTATTACTATTTTAGAACAGAGAGGGAAAACTAAGAGTTTTACTGTTAGTTTAATTTTGATTTACATACAGCGTGTTTCAAAAGTCCGTGAACACTTTAAAAACTTACTTAGCCAAACCACTGAGATTACAAAGTAACGAATTACATTATTTTACAAACACTGTATGTGGGAACCATGTGTGATCCTACAAACGGTCGACACGATAATCTCTTGACACACAGGGCGCAAAGTGTCTTCCGAGCTTCGCATGAGTTGAAACGTCAGCAACGACGTGCTATGTCTCACAAAACACTTTATGGGTCTTTGAAGCGCAAACTGTTACTGGAGAAGCCTTCCTTCAGATGTTGCAGACCTGATTAATACCATTGTTGCAAACTGAATGAGAAACATTTTCCTCCAATTGGAGGGATAATCAGAGCCTATCCTGAAATCGTTGTATTGGTCGTGGTAGAGCTACCGACCAATGTCATAAAATGGTCTCCTAGGTCCCCGGATATCATCCCCTTATGATTTCTTTTCATGAGGTTATGTAAAGGACCTTGTTTATGTTCCTCATCTTCCAGGTGATGTTATGGAATTGAAAAGAAAAAATTAACAAGTAGCAGCTTCAGCCTCGGAAGACACTTTGTGCCATGTGTGGCGGCGTTATCGCGTCGACGTTCATAGAACCACACCTGCTTCCCACATACAGTATTTGTAAAATGAGTGTTGTTGAAAAAACTTACAACTTTACTCTCTAAAATGACATACTTCGTTACTTTTTAATGCTACACGTTCGGCTACAATAAAGTGTTCGCTAACATTTGAAATACTGTGTATTTTTTACCTTATATATCTCTCCTTTAAAGAGAAAAACGCTTGGCCACTGAAAACCTTTTAAAGTGCTAAAGCATTAGCCAAGTGTATGTGTGTGTGTATTTTCTTTTGATGATGTTTTAGCTGGCCAAGTAAATGTCATTATGTTTTGCATCTAATGTTTCTGGAGACGCTCCCTTTTTAATACACAGACGTAAATCATTTTAAAAATGGATAATTCATGTTGCATTCAAGAAACAAAAGACATATGCTGATATGCTGCATTCAATAAATTTTTATTTATTTATTTATATTCATTTTTCACGTGGTATCTAAACATCACGTTTCCTCAAATAGTTCCCTGCAGTTGTTTTGATGAATTTAGATTCACGAATAATCGCAACAATTCCATTCGGCAGACACACGAATGGTTATATGATAGTAATATTCAATCACTGTTTTCAATTTGTTATGATCACTATGTGTTGGTCTAGCTATATCTGGTACAGCGTAGTTTTTCAAACCAATTTCGGCATGCGAGTTTGGTTGGTGCATGATCATCATACGCAACGCGAAAACTGCTCATCTGCAGCTCTTTAATTCTGCAAGAGAAAATGTACGTTGAATCCAACTAATCATTTTTATTTTCCATCCCTCCACACAAATGCCTCTCTAAACTTTCTATCATAAATTTTATTTAAAATGCACGCTGATATGGCAACTGTAAGATTTTATTTAAAATTGCACTACAATTATCCATTCTTGACTATATCTCTTTCACGAAAAAAAGATAAGTTTGCGGACAACCAAATAGTTCCTGGATATTCGACAATTGCTGGATTAAAATCCTGTGGGAAATTTTTATCTTTTTTAATAAGAATTTTATTATTTTCCTTAATCGGGCTTCATGAATATGCTTGCTTTTAAAAACATTTCTTTCCCTAGATATTTACGTATAATTAATTTTGTCAATTTTTGATGGTTTGGTACATCAGGGGCAAAACGTATTGTTACGAATTTGGTATTTAAAAAGCTAATGTTAGTTCAATTAGAAATTAAATGGTTTTATTTCTCGCGCAGTGCAGCGCGTGACGAATATTAAAAGAAAGCTAAGCCGGAAAATTGAAAATACAAGAGCGCGTGCATTAAATAAATAAATATCTCTTTTTGATTTCGAGAAAGTACTGGAAAATTCTAGCGCGTGATTTTAAAATCTTATAAAAGGAGGAAAACATCTCAGTTTGTAGCAGTTGCTTAGTTTGTTGTTGTTTTAGAAAAACTACTGTTGTTGATTGTAGCGAATTCGCGGATTAGCGTTCTTTAGCTGTTTTGAATTACGTTCTATTGGACATTTGAGTAGTTAAAAGAAAACTACTGTGAGATATTGTAATACTGCATGATAATTTGAGAAAATTTAAGCATTTTTGTTGTGATAATAATAAATTTTTGTTCATTTTTCATCGGACTTGTGCATTCATTTCATAACGAACCCGTACGCACGCAACAATTTTTGGTGTCAGAAGTGGGGTTTGAATGCCAATAACAAGAGCGATGGAAGAACAATTGAGACAGCTCATTAGTGCTTTTGCTGCATTCCAAGAAAAGATGGAAGCTGGCCAAGCATCATTTAAGGAAGAAGAAATGAAATTGGGCCAGGCCAGGAATCCGTTAAGGACGAAATGAAAGCCGTTCAAGCTGGTCAAGAAGAAATGAAAAGAGAAATTACTTGCATAATAGAAAATAAATTTGAAGTTATGGAAGGCAGAATTGACGCAGTTGAAAATAAAGTTTGGACATATTGAAGAAAGAGTTTCTTCGGTGAAAGAAGAAATAGAAGAAAGAGGTTTCTTCTGTAAAAGAACAAATTGATGATGAGAGAGTTTCTGCAGTTGCCAAAGAAATGG